CCAAGGCCTCAGCTTCCTAACCTGTAAAATGGGGGTGGGGTCACGGCAGCCAGCTGCCTCCTCAGGATGCTGGGAGGCTCAGTGTGCCAAGGGGGATGCGATGCAGAGCCCGAATGAAAGGAGGGTGGACCCTACCAAGGGGTAGGTAGGGTATGCAGGGGGCCCTCAGGGGCACTCACCCAGCCCCAGCAGGAGGAGCAGGAAGGAGGCCAGCACTACCCTGTGGTTCTTCTGGATCAAAGGGTGTTGAGTCCAGCTGGATGGCAGCAGAGCAGGAGGGGTGTGAAAGAGGCGATAGGAGGCCCACCCCCTCCCATCACCATCCCCCACCCAGAGAGCCAAGGGGAAGTAGTCAGGGCTACCTGTACTGGGGCAGGGGCCCCAGGTGGCAGGAGCAGGGCAGGGTCTCACCTGCAGCAGGCATTGTAGGAGCGCTGAGTGCTACTGCTGATGGTGCTAAAGGACCACTGGGAGCTGCGGACGGATGTTCGGCCAGAATCCCTGCAGGACAAATGGGCCCGGCGAGGGGGCAAGGGGAGGTGAGCAAGGGGACCCTTTGGGATAGGAGTCGTGATGGCGTCCTGGGGGATGGTGCAGAGACTGGAACTAGGTGTTCCTGCAGAATAGGGGGCACTGAGAAGGGACGGGGTGAAGAGGAATTCAAGGGCTGGGGGTTTCTGCAGGACTGGGGGTTGAGGAAAGCTGGGGATTCCTGTAGGACAAGTGACCTGTGACAAGACAGGGGCCAGACCAGGCTGGGGGTTTCTGCAAGATAAAGAGCCTGGTGGGGTGGGTGGGTGAGGCTGGCACTAGGGTAGGGTGCAGGACAGGGGACCCCGTGTAGGAGTCTCTCGTAGGACAGGATGTGAGAGGGCTAAGTGAGGTGAGCTGGAGGACTGAGAGCAGGGGCCTGGGGACAGGAGACAGAAGCATGGGGCTAAGAGTATGGGGTGGGTCCCCACCTGGCCCTGACCTGGTGCCAGCTCCCCCATCCGGCTCCGGAGAGGTCTGGGTTCCATCCTCATCGTTCTCCAGGTTCTATTCCAGAACACAGGGCTCAGAAGGGTTACTGGGCTCAGGCCCTTCCTCCCTCCCCTCTGGTGGAGAGGAAGAAAGCGAGCGCACACAGCTGTTTGCCTGGACACACAGCTGTTTGGCCGCTTGACAGCTGCTCCCTCCGCCTTCCCCGAAGAACGGGTTTGATGATTCACAGAAACTGAAACCCAGGTAGGAGGTGGGTGCTGGGGGCTTTGGCAGGGAGGAGCCATCAGGGGCTGGTTGAGGGTTCCCAGGGCCAGGAGATCTCCCAAGCTTGGGAATCAGGGTGGAGTTGTCAGGATGGTATTTCAGGGGCCCAGTGTGGAGGCCTTGGATTTGCGGTGCCAGGGAAGGGCAGGCCAATGGTTTCCAGGTTTGGGGCATAAGAATCTAGTTCAGGTTGCCAAGAAAAGGATTCTAGAGTTGGTGGAGGTCTTCTGGGAAAGGGGGATTTCCAGTTTAGTGGGAGCCAAGGCATGGGCAAGGGCTCATCATGTGAGTGGGGACCTCCAGCTCTGGAGGGAAGGATGGGGTGGGGACTTAGAACAGAAGAGGGGTGCTGGTTCCCGTTGGATTATCTGGCCTGGGGCTCAGGGGAGTCCTTCTGAATATGGACAATGTCTGGTTCAGGTACAGAAGAGTTCCCCATCCCTGCGTGCTAAGGGGAGGGAGGGTCAGTACCCAGGATCGGTGGGGACTCCAGGTTGGGATCTCCAGCTGGGGGTGAGGGACGAGCTGCTAGGTCTGGGCTCTAGGCTCTCCAGTAGTGGCTGGGGACCGAAATCAGAGCTGAGAGGGTCTGGGCAGTGATTTGGCTCAGTGGCCACCTCCGGGGGGCGGTCTCCCGCTCCGGCTGAGGCCTCTAGTCAGATTCTCCCGAGTTGGGGTTCTCCAGGGTCCGGCCTGGGGTCTGCCCAGACCCAGGCGGGGTGTGAGGTGGGCCGGGCGGTTCACCTGGTAGCGCAGCCGGGACTGCTTGTCCTCGTCGGCCACCTCGAACCGGGCCCGGCGCTCGAAGTGCAGCGGCCCGAAGCGGGCAACCCCGCTGGACTCAGGCCCAGGGCCCGCGTCCTCCAGGGACAGCTCGAAGGCGTCATCGATGCTGAACTGGGGCCGGGCGGCACTCATGGCCCCGGCCCGCTCAGACGCCCAGCACCGTCGCCATCCGCTCCCGCCGGCCCCACCCCCGCGCGCAGACCCCGCCCCGTGCCGTCGTCTAGGTTGCTCGACAGTCCGGCGCCCTGGTCGAGGCCCCGCCCTTACATAACGGCCCCGCCCCCGCCCGCCTTCAGCAGGCCAGAGCTGCCGAGCGCCGAGCAGACTAGTGACCGCGCCTTCTCTCGTCCGGACCGAGCTGGGCTCGCCGCGCCGCCCAGCGGCCGCCTCGGCGAGCGACAGCGGGTGCCTCTCTCGGAAGCAATCCCTGGGTCTGTACAAGGGCCTTGCAGGGGCTGCCACTCGCCAACCTTTCAGGCCCGAGTTGGAGCCGTCTGCATCCCAGCCCGCTCCTCGAGTGCTGAGGAGACTCCTGGGGACCGTTTCCCCACCCTTACTCACCACGGCCCTGCACGGGAGGGGGATCGTCGCCCCCGTGCAAATGTGGAAAAAGGCTCAGAGAGCTTATGTGGCTTGCATTCTCCTCCAATTCTGTCTCCACGGAGACGGCAAAGTGGTCTTTTAAAACATCTGATCCTTTTCTTCTGTGTGTTACTCTTAAATAAAACTTTTTTTTTTTTTAATTAAAGTATGCTGCCAAGTCACTCCTCTGCATAAAACCATCCCTTGGTTTTCCACTGTGGTTAGAATAACATGTGAACTCTTGACTAAGGCCCACAAAGCTCTGGTCCCTGCCTACCTCTCCCAATCGCATCAAGTCCTTCTCTGCCCCTCTTTCATCTCGCTCAGCCACACAGGCCAAGCTCGTTCCCATCTCAGGGTCTTTGCACGTGCGTGCTTTTTTCTTAACCTTGCTCTTTCACAGGGGGATCTTTTCATCATCGGTGTCCCTGCTCCAGTGTCACCTCTCAGAGAAGCCGTCCCTGACTATGCAATCTAAAGTCAGTTTCACATCACACAGTGCTTACCCGAAATTACCTTATTTTACACTGTCTTATTCACCACTGTGTCCACTGTGCCCAGAACAGTGTTTGGCACTAAGTAGATCCTCAGTAAATATTTGTGGACCACATGAATGAGCGCTTCGCCCAAATCCCAAATGCTTTCAAGTGCGAACTGGGATTTGAACTCAGGTCCACCTAGCTCTAAGGGTGCTCATCCTCCTGCACTCACCCGACCCACTTCATTTTATGACCTCGTGTACAGAGCTGAGTCAATCCTGCTTCTCAGTTTATGACACATCATCACTATGAGCAAGGCCCCTCTTGAGTTATGTTAATTTATTTTCCCTCCTTCTCTCCACCGTTTTCCTCCTCCCTTTCATCAGATCCCACATCAGTGTGCTCAGTCGGCTGCCCTGAATTCTGTCTGGCCCCCTACTCCACGTGGCATTGGCTCGTATGTGGATGTGTTTGCAATTTAAAAACATGGAATCATGTATAAAACTCATTCTATTTATTTTTTTTTTTTTTTGCTGTACGCGGGCCTCTCACTGTTGTGGCCTCTCCCGTTGTGGAGCACAGGCTCCGGACGCGCAGGCTCAGCGGCCATGGCTCACGGGCCCAGCCGCTCCGCGGCATGTGGGATCTTCCCGGACCTGGGCACGAACCCGTGTCCCCTGCATCGGCAGGCGGACTCTCAACCAGTGCGCCACCAGGGAAGCCCTGAGGTATTTTTATATATACTAGTGGATTTAATTAGCTGAACATTCATTTAGGATTTTTCATATTTATATTTATTAGTAAAATGGGTGTATATTTTTCTTGCCTTATGGTATAGTTATCTGGTTCAGAATCAAGATTAAAATAGCCTCATAAAATATGTTGGTTGGCTTTCCCTCTTTTTCCATTTTCTGGAGCAATCTGTATAGGATACAGACTACTTATTGCTTCAGAATTTGGCAGAAGTCGCCTGAAAAACTTCCTGTGTGGGTAAAAAAAAAAAAAGCTAAAAACAAACAAAGCATGTTTCCCTTTCACCCCAGAGGTTCCACCTCTCTCAGGGGACTTTTCGGGGGGGGTGGGAAATGAACCAGCATAAATATCTGAAGCCCTTAGCACGTGGGGCAAAGGGGACGGACAATAATTCTTCGCAGTTATGAGGATGGAATGAAGACAGTGCACAGGTCCCAAGACATTCCCTTTATTCGGTTACCTAAACCTCGAAAGTGGGAGCAGAAAACTCTTACAGCTATTCTTCACAGCTAGTTTCCAGAGGCGGAGAGAAATGTTGTACTACCCCCGAAGTGCGTCACTTCTATCATTCCTATATTTCCTAATACTCACTGGGCAACTACTATGTGCCAGACACCGCGGAGGATTCCATGGTGACGACACATCCAGCCAGGACCCCACAAGGGACTGTCAGTCTCTTGGGGAGTTTACGGTTCCCACAGGAACACAGAGAAACCCTCCTTCCTCTCTTTCTTACTCCTAGTTTTACTTATTTATTTATTTATATTTAAAGAGAAAAATCCAGGATGCAAAAGTCACGACTATTGTGCTAGGTATGCTAAAAGAAAAAACCCAGAAAGGAATACACAAAAATAGTAGTTTTAGGGGGTGGCGTTACCGACAGGCCCCCAGCCCCCGCTCCATCCTAGTTCTGTAACTTTGTTATACCGTTCCTACAACTTAAAATAGAGTGGCACACGGCCACTTGGGAGGGCCCAGTCTATATCAGTTCAATGACACAATTGCTAGGGACGCCCCCGCCCCGCCCGGCCGACTCTGGCCCCGCCTCTCTCACCTCCCCTAGACAGTCTCAGGCCCCGCCCCTGGTCAGACCCGCGCGCTCAGCCGCAGCGCAGAGAACCAATCACTGTCCGTTTCCACGTTCAGGCCCTTTATGGCGTCTGCCCTTAGCCAAAATGGCGCCAGCTCGGAAGTTGCCGAAGTTGACGAAGCAGGTCCGGAAGCTGCCGAGGGAGTCCGGAAGTTGCCGAAAGAGAGCAGCGGGGAAGGAGGATGGCGGATATCATCGCAAGACTCCGGGAGGACGGGATCCAAAAGCGTGTGATAGAGGAGGGCCGAGGAGAGCTCCCTGACTTTCAGGATGGAACTAAGGTTCGTGTTTATCCCCTTCCCTTAACCGTCCGTGGCGCGGTGCGCATGCGAGGCGGGAGGAGGCTGTAGGCGAGAGATTGCGCATGCCCAGATAGCAGTGGTCGGTGACCCTACCTCTCACATGCCGAGCTCGACGCTGATTGGTCTGGATTTAAGTAGAGGGTGAATTCGGATGCGTCTGCCCCCGCCCCCTGGCTTGGTCGTGTGGCCACATTGGTTGGGAAGGCCGTCAGTCATTATAAATAGGTTGCGGGAGGTGGGAGGGTTGACCCTATTGCTTGCACAGACCCAGCGCTGGAGAAGACCCTAAACCGGATACCTGGGCCTTGGGAGCGGCCCCTGGTTTGCAAGGCTCAAAATCTATAGACGGAAGGGTCTTTTGAAAACACAGACCAGCTCCATTTCTTAGATGGGAAAATCGAGGCCCTGGGACGACGCACCAACCGAGAGAACAAACAGGCCCAGAGGTTGGGTCTGCCAGACCAGAATCCTTTTGGCAGCCTTCCGAGTGCTCTTCGTGGCATTGCTCGGGACAGATAAGGGCTGGGAAATAAAGAGCCTCCCATCTTCCTCCTTTGCACATCCAGGCCCCCACCTCCAGCCTCTCCGGCCCCTTCCCCCAAACAATGTACATCTCCAGGCTTACCTGCTTCCGCTTATGCAGTTCCCTCCTCCTGGAGGGCCTTTCCCTGTTGCCACTTGCCTGTAGAGTAAGGAGCTTCCTGGGGGCAGCCCCTGTGCCCAGCAGAGCAGTCACATAGGACACGCATTTGAGCGAATGAGTAAAGATCCTGGCCCCCAAAATAACTGAAGTGACATACCTTGTTGATGACTACAACAGTTTAACATTTAAAACATACTGGGGCCGGGCTTTCCTGGTGGCGCAGTGGTTGAGAGTCCACCTGCCGAAGCAGGGGACGCGGGTTCGTGCCCCGGTCCGGGAAGATCCCACATGCCGCGGAGCGGCTGGGCCCGTGAGCCATGGCCGTTGAGCCCGCGCATCCGGAGCCTGTGCTCCGCAACGGGAGAGGCCACAACAGTGAGAGGCCCACATACCGCAAAAACAAAAAACAAAACATACTGGGGCCACCAAAAGTAAGAGCTACTGTGCCGAGATCCAGCAGGTAAAGATCCTAGCCTCTCTCAGCGTGAGTGATTTGAGGCAGAGCTGCACAGCCCTAGTGATCAGTGATACCAAGAGGGATCCTTTCCCAGATGCGAGAAGGGAGGTGGATGTGGGTGGATTCCCCCATTGGGCTGGGGAGTTGGTGGCCTTGAAGAAGGTCCTGGCAAGGGAGATCCTGGATGGAACAGACACCAGCTGGAGAGAACACTGTAAAAATAGTGAAGATCTGTGAACAATGACCCTGAAGGAACAGATACAGGTGAATTAAAAAACCAATCACCAGCATTGATTGAGGGCTCAGATGAGCACTGTGCTAAATGCTTCACAAGTTTATTTTCTTTCCTTCTCACAAGAGGAATAGGTACTATTGTTGACCCCATTTTACTGATGTGAAAACAGAGCTCAGAGGAGTGGCTAGGGGTGGTGGCAAAGAGTGTGGGTTCCTCTAACCATATCCTGTGGAGGGTTCAGTGTTTAGACCTCTTCTCTCTTCACTCTCCCTGAGATGATCTCATCCAGGCTCATCTCTTTTAAAAAACTCTCCATGCCTGGGCCACTCCCAGATGTCTATCTCTAGCCTTCCCTCTCCTTTAAAGTTGATATCCGGCTCCCTACTCACCATCTCCACCTGGATGTCTGGTTGGCACCTCAAACTTCACCTGCTCCCCCCAAGCCTTCCCATCTAAGTTAAGGGCACCTCCAGCCTTTTGGTTGTTCAGGCCCAAAACCTCCCAGTCTCCATGGCTCCTCCTGTTCTCTCACTTCCCACAGAAGATCCTCAGAATACACCGGTGATCTGACCACTTCTCACCACTTCTGCCACTACCACCCTGGTCCAGGCCGCCATCATCTCTCTCCTGGGTTATTGCAGTAACCACCTTCCTGCTTCTGTCCTCCCTCCGCTCCAGCCTGTTCTCATCCCAGCAGCAGCAGCACCCACGTCAGATCATGTCCCTCCTCTGCTTGGAGCCACCTGCTGGCTCTCAACTCAGAGTGAAAAAACAAACTCCTCACCACTGCCTGCAGGCTCTGTGGGGTCCATCCTTGCTGACCTGGTGACCCCGTGATGCACAACTCCTCACCCTTGTTCACTCTGCTTCTGCTACACTGGCTTCCGGTTTTGTGAGCACCCCACACACTGTCCCTCTGCAAGGCTTTTGCACCTGCTATTCTCTTGACCTAGAAAGTTCCCACCCCTTCCTACCCCAGCATCTGCCTGGCTTGCTTCTCCCTTCAGATCTCTGGGGGGTTTTTTGACCACACAGCACAGCTTGTGGGATCTTAGTTTCCCGACCAGGGATCGAACCCAGGTCCCGACAGTGAAAGCACTGTGTCCTAACTACTGGACCGCCAGGGAAGTCCCTCAGATCCTCAGATCTCTGCTTAAATGTTGTCCTCGCAGAGACTCCTGCCCCCTAAACTCACCCTGCCTTACCCTGCTGCATTTTGTTTTCTGATCCATAGCACTTAGCTCAACCTCACACAGCACATTTTGAGGCCCATCTCTTTCCTCTAGAAGTTCCATGTGAGCTCCACGGGGGCAGGGACTTTTGTCTGTTTTGTTCACTGCTGGGCCTAGCACAGAGCTCAGGCATGTAGTAGGTGCTCAGTAAATATTTATTGAAAGAATGATTAGTGCCAGACTGCTCGGGCTCCTGTCCCAGCCCGTCCACCCACTAGCCATGTGATTTGGACCCCTTCCCTCTTGGTGACAGTATCCTCACCTGGGTGGTGCGGTAAAGCCAGGTGTAAGGTTGGGGGGTGACCCCTGGGAGAGCCCTGTCCCTTGTGCCATCTGCAGGCTGCGAGCTGGGCTTGTCCTTGGGGGATGGGGGAAGGCTGTGCCCTTGTCTGATCCCATTTGCGGCCCGCAGGCCACGTTCCACTACCGGACTCTGCGCGGTGACGCGGAGGGCACCGTGCTGGACGACAGCCGGGTGTGCGGCAAGCCCATGGAGCTCATCATTGGCAAGAAGTTCAAGCTGCCCGTGTGGGAGACCATTGTGCGCACCATGCGGGAGGGCGAGACCTCTCAGTTCTGCTGCGACGTCAAGGTACCCGATGTCCTGTGCCTGCCTGCATCTGTCTGCCCGCACCCAGTGGCTAGGCCACCACCGACTCCCTCCAGGGCACCACACCGCCAGGACACTGGCGTCCTGGCCCCTATCCCACCTTTTCCTCTCCCTTAGCCGGACTGCAGCCAGGGACTGGCTCTCAAATGCAATGACCCACACAACTCCTTACTTCAAACCCCTCTGGCTCCTGGTCACTGTCGAGCTAAAGTGTAAGCCATAGATGCTCACATGGCCCTGCAGGGTCTCCCTCCCACTCACCTCCCTGTGTTTCCATCCCTTTCTTGGCCAAGATCCTCCCTCCCACTTCAAACTGAATTCCTGGGTCACCACCCCCAGGAAGCCTTCCCTGACTACTGGTGGTTGACTTGAACCCCATCTCTGGGTTCTCCAGCCCCTCATGCTCTGCATGGCCAGGATCTGGTCCTCTGTCTGCATCTAAGCTACTTCAGGGCAGGGATTGGGCCTGTTTACCTTCAAAATGCGCAGTGTGGGCCAGCCCAGAGCCAAGACTCAGAACACATCTGCTGGCTGGATGAATGTTAGCCAAGCAGTCTGCCCTGTGCAGGGTCAGTGAGAGGAGCTGGTTAGACTGGGGTGAGGGTGGTCTGGCTCCCACCATCCCAGCAGATGTTCCTAGTGAAAGGTCAAAAGCTAGGTCCCCAGGAATTCCCTGGCGCTCCAGAGGTTAGGACTCAGCGCTTTCACTGCCGTGGCCCCGGGTTCAATCCCTGGTCGGGGAACTAAAATCCCACGAGCCTTGTGGCCAAAAAAAAAGCTAGGTCCCCTATGCCTGAGGGTCTCCCCTGAGGGTTTTGAGGTTGCTGCCCTAAACCCACCTCGGAGATAGGCCCTGAAAGGGGTGGGGATGGGGCAGCACAGAAGAGACGCTGGGAACAGAATGTGGAGGGACCCCAGTGATGGGGGGGAGCCCAGCTTGTGGGCTGCAAGCCTGGGAGAAGGAGGAGGGGCAGAGGTCAGAATTCCACTGGGCTCGTAAGGGCAGGGGAGACCGGTTGACAGCGGGAGTGTGTTTTTGTGTGGAGGTTCGTGGGGTAGGCGCTTGGCTTGGTTTGGTGGCCAGAAAGTGTGGCAGGAGCTGAGGCCTGCACCGGGCTGGAGGGCTGGGAGGCTGGAGGAGTCCCGAGGGAAACGCCCTCCTGTGTTTCTGCTGAACCAGTTCCTGCCCCTCTCTGGGCCTTAGTGTCCTTTCTCAGATGGTGATGGGGCAGGGGGCTGGGCCTCTTGGGCCGGTGACCAGCCAGCCCATTGGTGCCCACTCACCCTCTGGCAGCACGTGGTCCTGTATCCGCTGGTGGCCAAGAGTCTACGCAACATTGCAGCTGGCAAAGACCCCCTGGAGGGCCAGCGGCACTGCTGCGGCATCGCCCAGATGCACGAGCACAATTCCCTGGGCCACGCCGATCTGGACGCCCTGCAGCAGAACCCCCAGCCTCTCATCTTCGACATCGAGATGCTTAAGGTGAGGGGCCACCAAGCCCCAGGCACCTCGCCAAACTCCCACTGCCCAGCTTCAGAGTGGGTGCTGGTCCCACCTGCCTGCCCAGAGTTGGTGGGCCCACTGACTGTTGGTTGGGCTTGGGGTGGGGCAGGTACAAGGACACTTTTGTGGACCCCCTGGCAGTGTCCTCCCCCTCCTTCAGGTCACTGCAAGGGCAGGGATTTTCACCATCTTGTTCACGGCTCTATTTCTAGAACCCGGCACAGTGCTGGGCATGTAGGAGATGCTACATAAACAGTTTGTTGAATGGTCAGAGAATGAACAAGTGATTCTGTTTCCGGTGTCCAATGTCCCAGGCCCAGTCAGCCCAGAGGCTGGCCCTCGGCCCTGACTTGGCCTACACCCCGGCAGGTGGAGAACCCTGGCACGTACCAGCAGGACCCATGGGCGATGACGGATGAGGAGAAGGCAAAGGCAGTGCCGGTCATACACCAGGAGGGCAACCGGTTGTACCACGAGGGCCGTGTGAAGGAGGCTGCCGCCAAGTACTACGACGCCATCGCCTGCCTCAAGAACCTTCAGATGAAGGTGCCGCCTGGAGGCTGCAGTGGGTGAGTGGAGGGGCTGAGGTGGGGCCGGGGGCCCAGGTTTCAGCACCTTTTGCCCTCTCCCTCCCCCCACGCCCCCAGGAACAGCCTGGGTCCCCTGACTGGATCCAGCTGGATCTGCAGATCACACCACTGCTGCTCAACTACTGTCAGTGCAAGCTGGCGGCCCAGGAGTATTACGAGGTGCTGGACCACTGCTCCTCCATCCTCAACAAGTATGATGGTGAGCACCGCGCGCTGGGCCGCCAGGGTGGGCCAGCGGGTGGTCAGTAGAGCAGCCTCCTCCGTAACCCCTGGGCACCGGGGCACGAAACTGAGCCTTTAATATCACCCCCATTCTGAAGTCCCGTGGGAACCCGACCAAATATCGCCCACCCAGGCAGGACCATGGGCCCTGTTGCGCCAGTGAGATATGAAAGGGGGCTCGGGGTGGGGTTGGCCTCCGCATGGGCTCCGTCCCATGATGGGCCCCTGGTGCCAGAAGTCAAGCTAAGTAGCTGGCTGGTCCCCCCTTCGTGCCCTTGTGTGCCTGCTGCCCACTGGCACCCCTTGCAGACAACGTCAAGGCCTACTTCAAGCGGGGCAAGGCGCACGCGGCAGTGTGGAATGCCCAGGAGGCCCAGGCTGACTTTGCCAAGGTGCTGGAGCTGGACCCCGCCCTGGCGCCCATCGTGAGCCGTGAGCTGCGGGCCCTCGAGGCAAGAATCCGGCAGAAGGACGAGGAAGACAGGGCCCGCTTCCGGGGCATCTTCTCCCACTGATGGGGCCCTGCTGGCCCAGCCACCCTGCCCAGCTCACTGCTGCTGCTAGCAGCCCCCCCGCCCCCGCCGTATCATGCTTCTCTGTATATAAAGGCCTTATTTATCTCTCTCTCTCTCTCTCTCTGGGCCTGCTGAGCTGATCCATTGGGAGAGCTGGGGTCATCACCCCTCATTTCCTGGTCCTTGGGTGGTTTGGGGAGGCAAAGAATTGGGGTTCTAATCCCAGCTCCCCATTCACCAACTCAGATCTTTTTGGGCCTCAGTGTCCCTGACAGAGAAGTGAGGGTGGTCTCTGTCACAAAGGAAGTGTTTCTTGCTGGCCAGGGCTAAGCTGCCTGGGAGCTTTCAGTCTTAAGCGGGAGACGAAGCAAGTGCAAGCCAGGGGGCCTAGTGTCCGGGTGAGGCGGGCTCCCCTCCGATCCCATGGCCTCAGCTAATGCAGGCAGAGGTTCCAATGAGAAGCCAAGTGTGGCCCCTGGGAACTGAAAGGCCAGCCCAGGTGGTGAGCGGAGGGCGGGGGTAGGCTGGCTCTCCAGGCCCCAATCCTGGCCCTGTCCTCTGACCTGCTGCGTGACCCTGGGCACATCCTGACTCCTCTTTGCCCTTCAGCATCTCTCTTGAACTGGAAACTGGGGGCTGGGCCGCCCTGTGATGCCGAGCAGGTGGGCAATCAGGTGGGATGCAGGTGGTGTTTATTTTCATGGATTTACACACACTGGAAAAGCCTCTGGGCCCTTGCTGCTCCCTCCTCTCACCCCCAGGGCTGGGTCCCCCAACATGAAAGGGAACTAACACCGAGGGGCAAACAGAGATGCAGGATGTGGGGCTGGGGGCCCAGCCTTCCACATGCGGCCACGTGGGCCTCTCAAGTGTGTGAGTAAATAACCCAAGTCCAGCCACAGTTTGGGCCTCACTCTTCGCCGTCTAGCTTGAGGCTGATGCTTCGGGCCTTGCCTCGCGCCAGGGTGGTGGGCGGCGTCCCTGGGCCCTCCCGCTCTGCCTGGCTGGGGCCCCTCGAGCGAAGCAGCTGGCTCTGTTTTCGGAGGAAGTCCACAGGGGCAGCCCCGCCATAGCTGCTCTTGGGCAGGGCGGCCCTCGAGGGTCCCACGGGGGCATGAGGGTGGGAACTGGCCTCCAGTTGGCCCAAGTGGGCCACATAGCCATCTGACAGGAACTGCGGGCAGAGGTGGGCAGGGATGAGGGGATGGCTGGTCTCAGGCCCACACGCTGCCCTTAACTGTCCTCCCCAGGGTCCTGGGCAGTGCTGGCTGCATTATAGGCCTGGCACAGCCTGACCAACCCCAGGCTGAGCCAGGGCACCTTTATTCCTGGCTCTGCCTCTCTCTGGGTCTCATCTTGAGTTTCCTCGTCTGTAGAATGGGATTTTGGAGGGAAACAACAGCAACTAACGTTTAGCAAGCACTTGCTTTGCGCCCAGCCCCGTGCACGCTGATATGCACTAAATCACGTGCTCTTCATGATAGCTGTTGAGGTCTGGTCCATCTTATCATTTCCATTTTGCAGACGAGAAATTGAGGCTCAGAAAGGTCAAGGCCTATGCCCAGGACCGTGCCAAAGTGGAACCAGTACTCAAGGTCTTGAGCATATTATCAATCCTGGCCTGCCCAGCACCTCCAAGCTGCTTGTGACCCCCATCCTAGGAGGAGCCCAGGTTCCCTGATGCCAGCCATCCTTCTCACAGCCGCCTGCCTTAGGTGCTTAACACATGGGTGGTCCTTCCGGCCCAGACCCAGGCTCCCACTCCCCAGCTGGCTCGCAGTCCCCACCTTCACTTGGTCCTCACCTGGCACTGCGCCTGGAGCTTCCGCACGGCGCGGCCCACGATGTAGGTCTGGCCCGGGGGTAGGCCCAGCGCCGCATATACGGCCACGTCTTTGGGGGACCCGTAGCCGGCCACGATGTTCAGTTCCACCTGTGGCCAGAGAGGCCAATCAGCAGCCCCGGGGGGCGGAGTCGTGAGGCAGGGGGTGGGGTCTGGTGGGCATCCGGTTCAGAATGTTTCGGGTCGAGGCCATATGGTCTACCTCACCAGGTCCGGGTGGGGTCGGGACCAGCCGTATCTCTCTAGTTGGCCCCAAGGACCGTATCTCTCTAGTTGGCCCCTGGGACCACGAGGGCCTTGGCGGTCTGTTAGGTTCGGGGGCCGATGGGGGTGAGACCAGATGGGCCTCCTCCCGGGGCGACGGCGGGGACGGGACCCTCCCCAGTCGCCGCACCTCCTGCACCAGGCTCTGCAGAAACACCGCCTTCTGGCGCAGCGGGTCGTGGGTGAGGCCATCGCAGAAGGAGACTACGCCGTGGGGGAAGTTGTGCTGTGACAGCCAGGCCACCACGCGGTGCTTCTGCATGTCGGGCCGGCCCGTTACGTACACGATCAGGTAGCCCGCGTCCTGCCAGTGCCTGCAGGGTGGGGCGGCGGGTCAGCTCCACGCGCCAGGGGTGGAGACCAGTCACCACGGCGAGCCAGGCGGCCGCTCCTACCTGACCACGTCCACGGCGCCGGCGCGCACCTTGGGGTCGCTGCCCATGATGGAGACGCTGGCGGTGAAGGAGCCGTCGATGCTGAACACCACGGCCTCCGTGCTGCGGGCCACGACCGTCAGGCAGCACTCAGCGTACGTGTGGTCGCCCCTACGGCCCAAGGGCTGCTTGAGCGACATAGGGGCGGGGTCCAGAGGAGCCCCACCCCGCAGAGGCCCGGCCCACCCCGCGCTCACCTGACCACCATGCGCACCGGGTAAACGCCAATACCCAGCGCACGCTCCACGGGCACCGGGAAGGTGAGGCGGCCCGAGCTGTTGGTGACCTCGGTGCCAAAGTGAATCCACTTGCCTGACAGCGGCTGCGTCATGATGTAGATGTCCACCTAGCAGGCAGAGGGGGCGAGAGGGTCCCCCTGACGCTGAGCGGAGGAGGGCCGAGGCAGGCCTGTTGTTGGGGGAGGACGGGGTTGGGGGCTCAACCTAGTGTGACTGGGAGCTATCCGTGGGACAGGAGGCAGCACCCGGACCTCCCGCTTGGGGCGAGTTTGCCCGAGGGCGGCCGGTCTACCCGGGACTGAGGCCTCTGTGTCCTGACCTTCTCTCCGGTGAGCGTGACCACGTCCAAGGGCCCGTACATGAAGCGCCCGTTCAGCACCTGGGGGCGGCCCTCGCACACCACCGTGTCGCTCGCCCGGTGGTTGGAAGTGACGTTCTGGTGGAAGGAGACGGCGTGAGCCCGCAGCAAAGAGGTGACAGGGATGCGGGAGGTGCTGGTGAGGGGGACCCGCGCTCAAACTGGGGTGCTCGGCCTGGAGGAGGCGGGGTCGCTGCGAGAGAGGGACGAGGCCCGAGGGGTGGGCGCTTTTGCTGACCCCGATCTGAGGTCATGAGGGCAGTTCCGAGGGGGCGGAGGATGAGGAGGTGGCGGGATGGTTAAGGGAGGAGACCAGTTGGTACCCAGGGGCGGGGCCGAGGCATGAGGAGGTGGGACCAGGACACAGGACCAGCGGGCGGGATTGGACCCCGGAACGTCTTGAGGGGCGGGGATCCTGGGGAGAGTAGGCAGGGCCTCGCTCTTGAGGGCTCGAGGGGCAGGGCACGTACCCGAATCTTGACTTGGGTGCGTTTGCGCTGCCACTTCTCCCTGGGGAAGGCCGGGCTGTAGATGGACGGCTCCTCGCACTCGGCCAGCTGTGGCTGCTCCTTCTCCATCACCTGCGAAGAATCGGACCAGCAAGGCCACGTGAAGGGGGGAAGGGTGCCTGGGGCTGCCCCTCCCCCAGCCCACGGCTCCCTATCATTGGCCGGTTCCCTCTCCCACCCCGCATCCCTGGGCCCACCTGGCGCAGGATGAAGGCCACCACATCCGCCGACTCCCAGTAGCTGGCGTGGAAGAGGTGGGGCAGCGAGACGGTGGGGAAGGCGGTGAGCGCCTCAGGGCAGTACAACGAGTAGTCAATCCGCTTGGTCCCCCACCAGCGCTCCAGGACTGTACGGCCACGGTGGGCAGTGAGTCAGGGGTGGCCTCCCACCCCATGCCCACCCGTCTGGCCCCTAATGCTCTTCCCTCCCTCTTTTCTGCCAACCCTGCTGAGTCTGGAGTTGGGTGCTAGGGCACACTCATTCCAGAGCAAATGCTTGGGGCAAGGATGTTTCAGCTGGGCTTTGAAGATGGAATAAGTATTCCCTCCCCAGGCTGGGTGGCTGGCTGACTTACTCTTAACCACCTCACTGGTGGTGCTGGGGGCAGCTGGCTGGGCTGGCAGATCACTGCCTAGCTCACTGCCCTTCCAGAAGGCTCCGCTGGTAGAGGTGGGTGTTGAGGGCACCAACATCTCCAGCTCCTCCAGAAAGAGGCCTGAGTGGGTCTGCAGAGTGTCAGCTGTGGGTGGACGGGCGACCTCAGTGGCGGGCTGGGCCAGGCCACCCTCCTGTCTTCCCACCAAGGTTCCAGGACAGCCTGGCCCCCATCCCTCCACCATCTCCCCTGCCAGCCCTCCCTGGTTGGGTCTTGGCTGAGGCTGAAGTGCCCCACATCTGGGTGGAGGTGAAGGGTGGGGGCATCCTCTCCTGTTAGCTCACCCCAACAGCCAGCTGCATTCCTGCCAGCATGACTGCCGCCACCACCTGGACCCAGGCCCACGTGTCTCATGGGGCCAAATGGCTACTCACTTGCATGCACGTGAGTACACACCCCAAACCAATACACGAACACAGGTGCATGCGGAGACACAATGCATCCCTACACACAGACACTGCAGCCCCTCTCCCCGCCGGTGGTGGGCGGCTGCTCTCAGTGTCACCACCTCCTCCCTTCAGCCCAGTTGTCACCACTGCCCCCAACTTCTGGGCAGAGAATGTTAGAGGGTCTTGGGGATCCAGACTGCCCAAGGGGCCAGGGGAGGGCTCCCTGGTCCTGGGAGTGGTGACATGAGAGAGTACCAATGATGTGGGAACTACCTCATGTCTTCTTGGGAGAGGGGGGCCCACACCCATCCCTCACTGTTGGTGCCGTCCTCTTTCTCCCCTTTATCTTGGTTGGCGGCATACCCAGCAGCAGGGATGAGCCGTCTCCCAGGGGGAACTTCTGGTAGCGCGGCACAGCCAGTGGGGCGATGGCCTGGAACTTGGGGGCCAGCAGGGGCTCAAGGCGGGAGGCGCAGGGGTCGGCCGCATGGAAGAGGTTGTAGATCTGCTCACAGGCTGGCCGCATCTGGGCCACTGGTACCCAGAAGATAAAGGGGGGAGGGGATTCATCTGGGCATACTGGGAGGCAGGGGTTGTGGGAAGCAGCACCCTGACATGCTGTGTGACCCTGAACCAGCACTTCCCAGACTCTACTCCCTGGGAGGTCCCTGGGAGTGCTTAAAAGTGAGACAGGTCTCTCGGCTAAAAAGAGATCAGAGCCTTCGATTTGCTGATGTTCAAGACGAAGCGTTCCCCATGCCTGTTGGACCCCCTCTCATGAAAGCATCTGTGGGTATGCGTTCCTCCTGGTGCACTTTGGGACACTTGGCCTTGGCAAGTCCCTTCTTTCTGGGCCTCAGGTTTTCCCTCTCTAGCCAAGCCATTTATTTGTACAGTGGGGAATGGTATAAACACCCCCATTTCAGATGAAACAAAGAGGAGATGGGGGAGGGGCAGGTGAAGCCCACCCCCACCCTGAGGGCTCACCCTCCAACGTGGGCATCACGGTTTTCCGCAGAGCCAGCACCAGGCCCAGAGGGGAGCCAAAGAGGAAGAAGCCGGAGACCTTGAAGTCAAGGCGGGTGGCACTGGTGAGACCATCAGGAACCTCAGAGGCGGCAGCGGGTGGACAGGAGGCTGTGCTTGCCCGTCTGGGCTCCCCAGAGGAGGTGGCTGAGGGGACCATCTGCAGGCTGCGGGAGGGGGGGGAGGGTGCTCAGTGCTGCTGCTTCCGCAGCCCAGCACAAGCCCAGTTTGGGGTTGATGGGGCAGGAATGTCACCTGTTTTGAGAGCCCTCGGGCTCAGGACTGGCCATGTCGCTGTGGGTGTGCTGGGCAGGCAGCACTGAGGGCTCTGGGCTGGCCCGGCCCAGTCCCTCCACCCCATCTGCCAGGGGATCCCGCACTGGGCCAAGCTCCGGGGAGAGCAGCTCATTGTTCTAGACGGAATAGGGGACAGAAACAGCCTTAGGACTGGAGACAGTCGATTTCTACTTATTTGGAAGTGAGGAAAGAGGCTTGGGGGTTGGGCAGGGACTTAAACAAAGAGTAGAGCCCTAGAGGAGGTGGAATGAGGCAGCAGGGGACAGGCCGGAGAGAGGGCATATTCCAGGGGCAGAGAACTAGAGCCGGGGAGACACCTGCCTCCTGAGAAGGCGGGTCCAGCCACACTGACCGTGCTTCCTCGGCGGCTGCTGCTGCGGCTCCCAGTGCCCGCGCTGGCACTGTGGCAGAGTGCGTCAAAGCCCAGGATTCCACCGACGCCATCCCCAATCAGCACCACCTGGGTGGAAGGGCAGCACCATCAGGAGGGGCTGCAGCAGAGGCAGGAGGATGGGGGGCTCCCGCAGCAAGTTCCCCGGGAACATCCCTAACTCCTGACCTGCCCGCAGAAGCCGACACCCTCAGACGAGCGCAGGAAGGCGGCGTAGGCCTGGTTAGTGCGGGCAATGACCGTGGCCACAGCGCCCTGGTATCGGGAGGATGAGGTGGCCAGCAACGGCAGGGCAGCCAGTGGAATGTGGTCCTGGGAGCGGGACAGGCTGTCACCGTCATGGCTGTAGGGGCTCAGGCTGTAGGAGGAGGGGGTATAATGGATGGGTGGGGGGCCTCCAGGCCCTCCACTGCCCCCTCTAAGTCCCCTTGACCTGTTGGCAAGTCCTAGCACTGGAGGGCCTTTGTGGGGCCCGTCAGTATCCCAGAGGCCTTTGTGATGGAGCCATTGACTAGAAACTGAAATCCAGCTGGGTAGGTGACTAGCCCAGGTGTTTGGCTTCCTGGCCTCCTCCCCCTCCCCCCATGGGGCCTCTCTGGTCTCAGGAGCCCCCAAGTGGCTGTCCACACCTTGGGGATCCTGTGTGTCCCCCACCCTCCCATCCCTGACCAGTACTTGGAGACAAGGGCATAGGCAGCGGCGCAGATGGGTGGGCAGGGCACCAGGCGCAGCGCCACGTGGCCCAGGGCCTCGGGGAAATGGACGCGGGTGATGGCCTCGAAGGCCAGGCTTAGCGTCTGCACATCCGCCTGCTTGGAGCTGGTGTCTCCAGGGCCTGAGTCTAGGATGTTGCCGCTGTGCAGGATGAGGAAGAGGGCGTGGACTGCGCATGTCTCTGCCCCCAGTTCCCCCGCTCCATCCGGGCCCTGCGGGGCACAGGGAGGGGTGCCAGGGATGTCAGAGCAGTGGCCTGGCCGGTGGGTGGGCAGAATGAGACGCGGGGTGGCCGACCATACTCACTTCTGGGTCCCTGGGTGCTCGGGCCCCATCCCCGATATCTTTGGTGGACTCGGTTCCAGGGTCTGCAGGATAGGGAAAGCCAGTGAAGGGGACTGAGGGATCTGTGGGGATCCCCGCATCTGGTACTTCAGGTACCCCTGCTCTGCTGTCTGCCTGAGCACCCGCCCTCGCCCCCCATCTTCCTCTGACCTTCTCCTCTCACCCGACTCTCCCAGGTCATTTCACGTTTCTGCGTCTTTGCACATGGCCAGTCCTGCTGCTGACAGGCATGCTTCTCCGCACAAGCCCTGTTTGCCTGGAAAATTCCTTCTAATCCTGTCCTGTCCAATATGGTAGCCACTAGTCACATGTGCCTACTTAAACTGAAATGAATTAAAATAACAATACCAATTTCAGTTCCTCAGTCCCACTCGCCACATTTCAAGTACTTGCTAGCCACATGTAGCTAGTGGCTAGAACATTTCCATCATCTCAGAAAGTTCTTTTGGACAGAGCTCGTCCAATCCTTCAAACTCCAGCTTAGACATCACCTCCCACGTGAAGCCTTCCTGGACTCCAAATGAATTCCTCCATTCTCTGTGCTGTGTCTGAACCCTGAATACACGCCCCACATCCATCCATCCACCCATTATCTCCTCATTATTCGTCTGTGTATTTAATGAGCACCCTTTCTGGACTGACATTCATCTCAGGACCCCATTAAACTTAGGAATGAGTTGTTCTCCAAGTCCCCACCGCATACGGAGTGCTGGTGGCTGGCAACTGGATGCGGGATATTTACCTGGCGCCCCTTCTGCCTCCATGGGGCAGGCAAAGGCGTCGATGAAGTCATTGGAGTTCCACTTGGTCATCTCCTTGGGGAAAACCTCGTCACTGTCTGAGAAACCTTCTGAAGGGACGAGGGGCTGCGTCATGGGCTGGCGGGAGCTGCTCATGGACCCCCCCCCTCCCCTAACAGGTCTCGGGTGCTGACCGTGGGCATCAAAGAACTCCTCCTCAGAGCTGTTCTCAGAGTCTCGGGCGATGTTCTGCATGCGCCACTCGGACAGAGTCTGGGGAGACACGCCCCCTGCAGGGCCACATTGGCCTCAGCCTGGGAGTTCAGCCTGAGGGCCGCTCCCTCCTGCCCCTGTGCCTCAGCCTCACCTCCATGCTGGGACGAGTAGGAGGAACGGGAGGACGAGGACCACTGCTTGCCGAAGCTGGCATCAGGCGAGGCATCGGGGCCTGGGGGCACCTCGGGCCCATCGGGGGCGCCAGCACGGCTGGCCCCAGCCCGGGCCTCAGTGCTTGGCTTCCCGGGGGGCTGGGCCTCGGGCCCCTCACTGCCTGTGTTGCACTTGGCCATGCGCTGTGCCAGCATGCGGGCGGTCTCTTCCTCCAGTGCCCGGATGTCAGCCATGCTCAGCTCTGTCCACTCGTCCTGCCAGCACCAGGCCTGGCGGTGGGCCCGCAGCATCACCCGACGCAGGCCTGCAGGCGCCCGGGCGTCAAAGCCATGCCCTCCCCACCCACACGCCCCAGCCCCGAGTTTCCCTGCCACTGCAGCCACATGCCCAGCCCATGAGTTCAGGGAATGGCTCCCCTGGGCACACCACCCACCCAGGGCCACAAAGTAGGGCAGGGTGAGCACTGTCCGGGAGACGGGAGTGGAAACTGGGGCATTTGTCTTCCTGCCCCACCTCCGTCCCTGCCCACTTCCTCTTTTATCCCTCTGGACACCCCAACTCTGAGCGCTGAGCCCACCCCGACACCCCGGGAAGCTGGGAGCAATGTTTGTTCTTGCTTCTGTCAGCTGGCTTCCTGCTGATTTCTTCACAAGAGTTAACAATTAAGGCGTCGATAGTTAATGAAATTGTTGATGGTTAATGAAGGCGTTAAGAGTTAATGGAAGTGTTGGCACTTAATGAAGCAAAACGTGATACCCGTTCTGGGACAGTTCCATCCTAAGCAGTGGACTAAAGTTAGAGACTCCAACGTCTAGGAGATAACGTCATCATGACTGAATTACTGTGACAAACTTCTGGAAGGAGATACACCAGAATCTTAATAGTGGTTACATGTGGGTGAGTTTCATTTTTTTAATTTGTGCTTTTTGGCATTTTTCCAAATTTAAGCTACGGTACCTGTATTACTCTCTGAGTTAAATTTCCTCATGTGTAAAATGGGAATAATAATTGTCCTCACCTTGAGGGGTGTTGGGGGTGTTAAAGGAGATCTTGCATGGGAAGTGATTAGCAAAGAATTAGGCATGTGGTGATCAATATTAGCTTTTTACTATCTGGCCCAACCTCTTCCTCATTTACAGAAGGGAAAATTAAGGCACAGAGATGGGAAGTATCTCCCTGGAGGAGAGTTTCCATGAGGGTCCGTGGTGGGATGGAACCCAGGTCCCTGGACACCCCCATCCTTCTACCTGCAGGTAGTCTACCCTCAGACCTGGGAGGTGGGGCAGGGCTGAGCCACAGGAACTGTGGGGTTAGTTTTAGGGGGGGCATGAAACAGGGCCTCCTGGATAACAGGGCCAAAGGATGGGACTCGGAGAGAGCGACAGAGTCACAGCTTTGGCCTGCACTCCTTAGCGTGTTGCAGGTTAGAGCTGGGGACCCTCCTGAGAGCCTCTAAGTCTCGCTTGACCCACAGAACACTGGAGAGTCTTAGAATTTTAATGGATGAGAAGCAGCATCTCTGAATGTCAGAACCGGCATGGACCTCAGAGATCACGTTGTCAGCTTCTTGCCCGCCTGACTCTCACCTGTACCTCAAGGCTAGGCTCCCCCAACCCCTAGCTAGGCTGTGCGGCTCCCCTCTGCCTCAGTGCCCACCACATCAAACGGAAATGACGGCTTTATGTTTCTGTGTCCCCAGTAGACTGGGAGCATCCCTGGCTCAAACGCGCGGCCTGGTGCATGCCGAGTAAATAGAACCTCGCGAGGCTGGGCGCTCACCGACATCGTGGATGAACTGCTCAATCTTGGCCTGCATGCCCCAGTAGCGGAACTCAACCTTGCACAGCTTATAGGCGCACATGAGGGGCCCCGTCTGGGCTGCTGTGCGTGCCCAGTCATCAGCCAGCGGTCCTCGGCCTGTCTTGGCCGAGCGGTACAGCCGGGGGTCTTCTTCCGCTTTGTACTCGCCTGGGGCCACTGCATCCCGCACGATGTCGATGGTATCTGGGGGGGTTCCGGCAGCGCTGAGCAACAGCAGCCCCCTCTGGCCCCTGCCACTCCTCCCCCACCTCGGGATTGGGGGGGCAACTTTCCATGCACAGGAAGCCTAGACCGGGAGAGAGCCTGGGACTTGTCAGAGGCCGCCTGTTGAGGTGGCAGGTGTCCTGAGAGGGGCTCCACGGTCCCCCCGCTGGCTCCAGGCCTCACCCAGGATGCGCTGTCTCCGCTCAGCCCCACTCAGGTTGAAGACATTCGGCTGCTGCCCCCCATCAGGCAGGTAATAGGTCTCTATTTCAATGGAGAATTTCTCCACAAAGGGGCAGGTGTACCTGGGCAGAGGGTGGGGTGAGGGTCACGGCTGTGCCCACCAAGTCTGTTCCCCTCCTGGCCCCAGACCTGCCCCACCCACTCACCGGGTGCGGGTGTAGGGATAGGCATTCCAGGATTCCTCCTCCACCTGCAGGGCGGCCTTGGGCAGCAGTGCCCGGAACCAGCCTGGGATGTGGGAGCCCACGTGGTACACCTTGTGTGTGTACTGCCCACTGCCACCGGGCCCATCCGTGTAGGGCCGGTTGGCCAGGATCTCCACGCCACTGCCCTCACCACTTGACTCTTCTCGGCTCTTTTTCTGCAGCCCAGGGCAAGAGTAGAACGGGCAGCTCAGCCCCAGATCAGCTCCTGGGATGGGATCCCAAGCTAGGCCTGGTCCCCTGTGCAGCTCTGAGGCCCTAGTCCCAGCCGTTCTAACTCCCTGAAACCCGACCCTGGTCCCCTGTAGCTCCCGGGGTCAGGATTACAGCCACTGTCCAGTCCCCTATGGGGTTCTGCAAGCCAGGACTCATTCAGTCACTCAAGTATTTGTTGTCTGCTCTATTCCAGACATTGTTTGGGATTATGTTAATTGGGATGTGTTGATGTACAGAACACAGACCCCTGCCTGCCCCTGTGCAACTTATGTTCCAGTGGAGGGAGATAGATAACAGACAGAAAACAAAAAAAAGCAAATTAGAAGGTGCTAAGTGCTGTGGTAAAAAGAAAGCACAGAATAGGGTAAGGGGGATAGGGCTGGGGGTTGCAATTTTGATGGGATGGTCAGGGAAGGCCTCATTGAGAAGATAACATGACCTTGATCTGAAGGCGACCTGGGGGAAGGGAGGGTGCTGAGCAGGTGTGAGGTGGGGGCACTATTCGAGGCAGAGGGGAAGCCAGTGTAAGCTCCTGAGGTGGGCGCATGCTGCGTGTGCTGCTGGCAAGGGGCCAGGGTGGGTGGCCTGGAAGAATCCAAGAGAGTAAAAGGGGCCCCCACCTTTCTAGGACCCCAACACCAGCTCCTGCCACACCCCTCATAGTTGGAGAGCACTCAGATCCCGTCCTTACATAGCTCTGTTGTTTGAACCTGGCCCACTTAACCCTCTGAGGCCAGATCCCGGCCCCCTTGCCTGCTCAGACTCTGGTCCTACATTTCTGGGGAGCACGTCTGGAACGGGCACCAACCCTCTCCCCTCCCTGAGAGCCTGCCCTGGCTCATTCTTCCTGACGTCCAGGGCCAGACCTCTACCCCCTTCTTCTTAGCCCAGACCTCAGCATCTGGGGTCCCTGCCTGCTCCTCTCTATGACAGATTTGGGGCCTGATCCTCAGCCCATCTCCCTGACCGCCTGGGGCTGCCGAGGTCCTGCCAAGGCCCTCTGGGAACCCCTCCCAGTCTTTCCCTACCACCTGGGACCTGCTCCTCACTTGCTGCCTCCCGCTCTTTTGCATCCTCATGCGCTCCTTTGCTTACTCCCAAAGGATTACACATTCTAAGGAGGATTAAAGGAGGTCAGATGGGGGCTGAGCGCACAGGAGGGGCTGGGCACTTGGGGTGGGGAGGCACCACTAGGCCCTTCTGTCGCTCTTCCCACAGACTTTAACCACCACCACCCCTCCCCCACATCCGACCGGGGAAGCTCTCTCTCCTCCTCTGGCCTGAGCCCTTCCAAGCCCCAGAGCGGGACTGGAGGGGGATTGAGCTGGGCCCGGCCCCTGGTCCCAGGTGCGGCCTGCGCGCTCCTGCGGACACCAAACATGAAGCATACCTCCCCCCACCCCGCGCCTTGGTCGCCTACTTCCCACCGCCCTCACCTGGATCATGTAGAGCTGGGCCACCTGGTACTCGTCCAGGCTCATGGGCAGCACAATGTGGTACTCCTTGATGAGCATCCTGAAGGCGCTCGGCCGGCGGTGCGCGGCCTCCGCTCCCGCTGGCGCAGGACACCGCGCGGCCGTCAGTGCGGGGCGGCGGCGCGCGGCCCCGAGCCCTGCGCGAGGGCCGAGGGGCTCGGGCCCGGCGACCCCATGCCCGGGCTCGCCGCAGGGGAGGCAGAGGCGAGCCCAGCTCTGCAGCCAGCGCCGCGGGGGGCCGGGAGCCTCGGCGAGGCTGAGCGCTGACCTCTTTTCCGCGCAGCCCCCGCCCCCCGCCCGCCCATCGCCACGGCAACCGCGCGCTGACGCTGGCCCCCCGGAGCCGCGGGCTCAGGCCAGCGGGCTGGCTGGCCAGCCTTGCCTCTTCGGCCGCGTCCGCGTCCAAGCCCCTCGGAATGGCATCCCTCGGGGACCCGCCCCCAGGAACCCCCGGGCCCCTCCTTCCGGGCCCGCCTTCCACAACCGGCCCCTCGGGGCCCGCCCCTTGCATCCCTTTCCCCGAGTCGGTCCCGTGTCCTCCACTCTTGGACGTCCACTTAGAACCTTGTCCCCTGGGGTGTCTCTACGCGGAGCAGCCCCGTGCACCCCTCCTCAGCATCTCTGTCAGTGTTCCCCACCCCCCGCCCCCGAACCTACCTTCAAAGACGAGATAACTAACACCTCCGCCCGCTAGACCTGCCTTCCCCACCCTGGCCGGCAGCCCAGTCCCCAACTCTCCCCTTCCCAGCATCCTTTCTGGACTCCCGGCACTTGTCTACGCAGCCGCCCCATCATCCTTCCCGAGGGCTGACCCCTCTTCGGGCTGAGGCAGAAGTATCCCACGGGCCCCCGCCCTGAGAGACCCCCTCCGTCCACCTGCGCCCCGGTTTCGCTGCAGCCCCTACCTACACCTCGCACCCACTGAGCAGGCGAGAGGCCCCCGTTGTCTCCACTTCCTTCCACTCCCCAGCGTCCCCGTCCCCCGCCGTGCTCTTGGCCCGCCCGCCAACGTCCCGGCTCACCTCTAGTTTAGGGCGGGCGCCCCTCACCCGGTACGGGCGGGGGCGGACGGGCGGCGGGTCAGAGCCCCCAGCGCCCCGAGCCCCGGCCTCGGATTCCAGCGGTGGCCGGACCCCCTGGAGGCGAAGCGCGGGCCCATGGCCCCGACCTTCCTCCTGGTCTGCCCGCCGGTGCCCCTGCTGTCCTTCCCCGTCGCCCGCCGCGTCACTGCGGCCGCCCCGCCTCCTTCCTGGGCCCGGCGGCCCTCCCCCCCACCCAGGCCGGGTCCGGGCAGCCCCGCCCGCGGCGGAGGAGGGCGGCCCCATTCTTTCTTCCCCTAGGCGGCGGGGGAAGAAGAGGCCCTTCTCCAAAGGCTGGCGCTTCTCAGTCCCGCTGTATTCTTTGGGATCCCCAAAGCACTCTGGGTTCCCACCTCCACCCTGGCCCAGCCCTCCTGTGTGCTATGGAAATATGACAGAGTCCCATTCCCAACTTCCCAGGCCCTTGGATCCTGAGGCCCAGGGCGGGGGAAATGCCTCCCCGTCCAAAGTGCAGCCAGAAGCTGGTCTCTGACTTGCCTCTACCTAGCTGGTGGGGTTCCAGTGCCCCAGACCTCTAGGGTCATTCTGCCACACACACAGGCAGAGGCCTGCAGTCACTCCAAATCTTTGCGCTAGTCCCTGAATGGGGACCCATGGCTTTCCCCACCTATATCTTCTGGGTCCACAGTCTGGTCAATGGCCACCAGATCCTGCGCAAAGGCTGAGACAGCCTAGGGTTGGGCCCGTGAGACCACACCCAGTCAGCTACAAGGCATTGGGACAGTGTATGGCAGCACCGAGCTGGGTCTCACCCATGTTGGAAACCAGTTCTCTCTCCTTGACTGTTTCTCAGGTCCTGTGGGGAGGGAAGCAGCAATGCTCCCTTTCTTTCCTCTCTGAGGACTCAGAGATGGGGTGTATTCAGAGCCTCCAGGGCTGATTCCAAGCTTAGGATGTTAGGGCATTAAGGCATGTGAGGGTGTGGCTTAAGTGAACTGGCATTTCCACCAGCTAGGCACTGCTAGTCCAGGGAAAGAACCCTCTAGGCTCAGGCTGGAGACAGTGCCCTCCAGCCGTGGAGGCAGCCAAGGCCCTGCGCTGCCCCCTGGTGGCATCACGTGAAGGAGGGCAGGGCGCTCGGCTACTGGAGCTCACCCTTTCCACTACTTACAGCTGGAAGGCTGAGGGCCAGAGAAGGGCAGGGTTCCACTCAAGGTCAATGGACAGTGGAGGCAAGGCAAAGCCAGGCTCCGTGGGCCTCTCTCCCACCCACTGCACCCCACCTTCCGCCCATCCAGGCTTAGCAAAAGCACCAGACTCAAAAACTACAAGCTGAGAGAACAACTCCAAATTATCTTTTATTTATACAAAAAGGGCATATTTAGCAAAAGACACACTGAGAAAAGAGTCGCCACGGCCCAGGAGACAGGGCAGGGAGGCGACAGGCCTTCTGAGGCCCTGCTGGGGAGAAGGGGTCTGGGAAAAGTGGTGAGAAGTCCTGGGTAAGTGCTGAGTGGTGGGGGCCACAGAAAGGAGAAAGCTCCAGTTGGATCAACACTGTTGGCAGGTCATGGGTGAGATTCACAGTGACCTCGCTGCTAACTCTTTTGGGGGTTTCCAGTTAGTGCTGCCGACTGGAGCGAGAGCCGCCCACTGGTTCCTGGAGGGCACCCACCAAAGGACACAGAACAGGAAGCCCAGGATGGGAAGTGCAACTCGGGGTGAAGGCCAGGGAGAAGCAGGTGCTCTGCAGTGGCCCGGAAAGGTCCAGATGCTGAGGCGGAGTCGAGTCCTGTTACGTGCGGGCGTTCCGCTCTGTCTCTGCCAGGCACTCTCTGACTAGCGCCCGGGCATGGATGATGCCTGGGGTGTGGATGCGGAAGTAACATACAGGATCTCAGCGACCCTCCACAGTCCCAAGTTCACCCGCCAGTGAAAAACACCCTCCCTCTCCATCCCCTTCCCTTTCAGTAAAAGGGACTATAATCTAATGAGGGGCTGGATGAGATTAGAGGTTTAGAGGTTAATCCTCAAATTTGCCCTGTTGAAATACAAACTCCCAGGTCCTTCCCTGGAAATTAACTCAATGTCAATTCAATTTAAAACGTCTCTCTGGGGGACTTCCCTGGTGGTCCTGTGGTTAAGACTCCACGCTCCCAGTGCAGGGGGCATGGGTTCGATCTCTGGTCGGGGAACTAAGATCCCGCATGCTGCATGGCGTGGCCAAAAAAACACAAAAAACAAACCAAAAAACCCCACCTCTCTGGATAGTGATCCTGGCCCTAGCCCAGGCTTGGCTTTCCTTCCCTACCTAGTGAAGCACTGTCCAGTGTTTGTCTCCCGGGCAGGGGCGGTGGGCCTGGCCTCACTTACCTCTCTTCAGGCGCTCCATGGCGCTCTTGCTGCCAGCATAGGTGGGCCGGATCTCTTTGCCCATCTCCTCTATGACCGACAGCAGGTCGGTGTAAGTGCTTTGGGAGCCCTGGGCACCAGGTGGTTTCATTGCCTATGTCAAAAGAGAACAGGGCAGTGAGCTCAGGCCAAGAAGGAGCCCCCAGTCCCCATCCATAGGCAATCCCTCGGCTCCACTCACCTGCACATAGCCCATGGAGGGCGGTCCAAAGTCGTTAAACAGTGGTCTGAAAGGGGCAGCGGCTCCTGGCACCGAGCCCGACGGCGATGGGACACTTCCGGCTGCAACATGCGCCAGTAAGAGGTCAGCGTGGGGCAGGGACGCCTCGCCCCGACGTTCCAAGCCCCGGACCAGATTCGCCCGATTCCCTCCAAAGGGCTTCATTCCAGGCTGCTAAACTTCAGGATAAACCCCTCCCCCTGCGCTTCACCAACAAGCCCTTACGTGACCACGCCCACTTCACAGGCCAGCGAACTGAGGCTCAGCGAGGGTAGGCGGCAGGCCCAGTATTGCAGAACTCAGGCCGTCTTCTCTTCGAGACCTCGACCGCCCGGGCAGGCAAGCAGGGGTGGAGCTGGATCCTCACCTGTAGGGACCGGGGTGCCGGGCCCAGGGGTGCTGGAGCCGGGGGTGCTGCTGGGGGCGGGGGCGATGGGTTTGTAGGACATCCCCAACTCCTGGGTGCGGCAGACGCCGGCCGGCCGCTCCTCCCGGGTTGGCTGCCTGGCCGCTCAGCCGCGCTCTGATTGGCAAGCCGGCAGCACGCCCCTGGTAAATAGAGCTCAGGCCGGAAGGGCGGGCGGGTACGAACGCTCCTTCACTCCCGATTGGCGTGCGAAGATGTCACTCGGGCCTTCTCATTGGCCGAGACCGGCCCCAACAGGCCGCAACCGCTGCTGATTGGTCTCCGCCTTCCGGACCTCGCACCTGTCTGCTTCGGATTGGGCGGTGGCCGACGCCTTCCGCAATTGGCGAGTTCGCGGCCCGGGCCGGCGCGCTCTCAATCCGATTAGTCCCAAAACCCGAGAGGCGGGGCCTCGGAAGCCTGGACCTGGGTCTGGTCCGCCGCGGTTCGCGCCGAGCCGGGCTTCCCGGGCTCGGGTGCCGCCCTCGCGCCTCACTCACGTTGCTTCGTACGTCAGCTTCCCGCTGCCCGGTCCCGGTTTAGCTGGGCTGCTGTCGCCGGCGCCGCCGCCGTCGCCGCCGCCGCGCGCGCGCGCGCGCGCCTTTCCTCAGCTCTGAGTGCCGGAGGACGCAGGGCTTTGACGTTCCCAGCCCTGCGCCCCACCCCGTGCGCTTTTACGTCACCTTTCACCGGTTCAGCAACCTGTCCTCGATCGGCGCATGCGCCCTCCTGAGGCCTCCGTCTGTTCCCGTGGCAACGGGTCCGTCACCAACGCTGTTGATGCGCCTCTTCCTCCCAATTGCCTGGATCTCGGGTCTAGGCTGGTGTAAGGTCCAAGGGCGACCTCAAAGGCTCCTCAACCTGCACCCCACCCCCCACCCCCCTAAGGCCCCACGCCGGTGCCTCATAATGACAATAGAAGGAACAGCTAACCTTGAATACTAAACTGCATGCCGGGCCCTGTACCATGCGCCGTCCTGGATCATGGACTACAGCACCATCTGGAGTCAGACTGACTGATTTGCCCTTGGGCAAGTTACCTCAATAGGCCTCAGCTTCCCCGTCTGTAAAATGGGGACGCTAATAATAACTATCTCTTAAGGTTGTTGTGTGGATTAAATGAATATTCATAAAGTGCTTACTGTTTCATTCTCCTCTTAAGCATTTGTCAAAGAGTGAGCTTCAATCACGAATATTTTTTAATGATTTAAAAAATCATTTAGGAGGTCAGGGGATCCCAGGATGGAATGCAGAATATGACAAAAGAATCAAACTGTATCACAAATGTATGAAACAGCTTCAGTGAAGGGAGTGGGGGAATAAGGTGCTAGTCTGAAAATGAGTGGTGTCTGTAAGAAAAAGACTAAAAGCACTGCACATAAGCACTGGACCCTAGCTGATGACGTGGTTTCCCATGGCGGTACGGGTTAACAATTCGGAAACCACTACACATGTACACTGTTGGAATGAGAAGTTACAGGTAAGCGAGGAGGAGGAGGCTAGAATGATCCATGTGGTAACGGATTAGAGTTGGAGGTATCAATAGGAACTCATGTTTAGCTTGATATAAATACAGTTGGTTACATACAGAAATATTTTAAAATTTCTATGTTCACAGGTTAGTATACATATATATCTCATCACTCTATCAGCTGACAGGGCCTAGAAGCACGCTTGCACCCAGATCTTGGTTTCGAATACCATTCTCCAATAAAATGAAGCAGGGTTCCTTGGAGAAATGGCAGATTCTAGGACTGGGGCAGGAATATACAAGATGATTCTGAAGCATCTAGTTGTGCCAGAAAGTAAGAAAATGCTAAAATGAAATAAAAACCCCCAAACCCAAACACCCACAATAATGGCGGTATGTCAGAGGGACACAGGAGCCAACTGAAAGAGCTCCCAATGGCCAAAGGTAGAGCAATTTGAGCAAGAAAATAAAATAATAGTACTAGATTATAACTTGTATAAAATAAATATCTATGAGTCCATATTGATGTAAAAATGATTGCGCAAATAAATAAATGGAGAAGAGACAAACTTCCCGGACAGAAGAATTTCAAGTAATTTATGTAGAAACTCAGCCCTTAATGAGGTGAATTACAATGCTCCACCCCCCTTAAGCGCGGGCTGTGTATAGTGACTTCCTTCCAGAGTATAGTATGTAACAGGAGAAAGAAAAAGAGTAGTTTTACAGTACAGAAACCTGACAAACACTACCTTAAGCCAGGTGGTCAAGGTCAACAGCATCAGTGATATCATGTTGATAGTATGCACCCTTCATATGTTGGGATGAGAACCCCATTCTAATCGTGAGAAAAACATCAGGAAAATCCCAATTTAGGGACATTCTATAAAATACCTGACTGGTCCTCCTCAAAACTGTCAAGAGGGACATCCCCGGTGGCGCAGTGGTTAAGAATCCGCATGCCAGTGCAGGGGACACAAGTTTGAGCCCTGGTCTGGGAAGATCCCACATGCCGCAGAGCAACTAAGCCAGTGCGCCACAACTACTGAGCCTACTCTCTAGAGCCTGCGAGCCACAACTACCGAGCCCGCGTGCCACAACTACTGAAGCCCACGCACCTAGAGCCCATGCTCTGCAACAAGAGAAGCCACGGCAATGAGAAGCCCGCACACTGCATCGAAGAGTAGCCCCCGCTCGCTGCAACTAGAAAAAGCCCGTGCGCAGTAACAAAGACCTAACGCAGCCATAAATAAATAAACAAACAAATAAATAAAAATTAAAAAAAAACTGTCAAGATAATTTAAAAAAACAAGGAAATTCTGTAAAACCATCATGACCAAGAGAAGCTTAAGGAGACATGATGCCTAATGTAACATGGTGTCCTGGATGGCACTCTGGAACAGAACAAGGGAAAAAGTGATAAAATCTGCATAAAATGTGGACTTTAGTTAATGTGCCAGTATTAGTTCATCAGCAGTGACAAAGGTACCATTCTGACGTAAGATGTTAATAGAGTGTCGTGGTTAATTTTGTGTGTCAACCTGACTGAGTCATGGGGTGCCCAGACCTTCGGTCAAACATGATTCTGGGTGTGTCTGTGAGGGTGTATCTGGTCTGGATGAGATTAACATCCATTGAATCTGTGGACTAAGTAAAGCAGATGGCTCTTCCCAATGTGGGTTGAAGATCTGAATGGAAAAAAAAAAGGCTGAGCGAGAGGGAATTTTGCCTGCCTGACCTTTGAGCAGGGTCATCAGTCTTCTGCTCTCAGACTGGAACTTACAACATTGACTTTTCTGGTTCTTGGGCCTTCGGGCTTGGGCTGGAACTGTATCACTAGGTCTCCTGTGTCACCAGCTTGCTGAATGAAGATCTGGGGACTGCTCTGTGCCCATAATTACCCAAGCCAATTCCTTACAATAAATATCTCCACACACACACACACGCACGCACGCACGCACGCACGCACACACACCCCTCCTATTGGTTCTGTTTCTCTGGAGAACCTTGACTAACACATAGGAGAAGCTCGGTGTGGGGTATTTAGGAGCTCCCTGTCCAATATTCAAAATAATTCTGTAAACCTAGAACTACTCTAAAATACAACAAGTGGATGTAATATCTTTATCTGGGTGATGGTTACCCAGTGCATACACACGTAAAAATCCACTGAGCTTTACATTCATATACGTTACTGAATGTATATTATACTCCAACTATTTAAAGTGGACTTAAGGTAAAAATCTCAACTGACAGCTTCTCTTGGAAAACCAGAAGATGCCATAGCTCTAGCCTGCTCCAGCTGACAACAGTCAGTGGAGTTGGGTGGCAGGTGCCCCCTTTAGGCGGGGAAGGGGCTCTTGGCTTGCACAGTCGCTGCCTGCTTCCTGTTCCTCCCAGGCCTGCTGCCTGCTCCAGCTGTGTCTGTTTGGAACTTCTGAGCTAACAGCCTTTCTGGGGTGGGAGGGCACGTGTGAGATTTGGGGGAACTGTGGGCACTTCTGATGCAAGCAGACACACGGCAGCCAATTAAGGTCATCCCCCCAACCATCCCCTCTCCCTTGCTCCAGGCACAGGGCCTGACAAGCTGGGGCCCATGGGAAGGTGACCTTGAGCCTGCTCTGGTCTTCCCCTGGCACCTGTCCATCACTCTTCCCAGCCCCTGCAGAGGGGACAGACCTCTCAGGCAGCAATGCCATCTGTGCCGGCCAGTGGAGGGTGGTGGGAAGGAGTGTGGGCCATGGCTCCCAGACAAGCTGCAGGGCTGGGGCAACTCCTCCTCAGCCCCAAGCCTGCCAGACTGGCAGGAGAGATCACCCAATTGAGGATTAAGCATTAATTGTGATCTGCCAGGCAAGTGGTGCTGAGGCTGCAGCAGCCAGCCCTGGCACCTCGGGGTCCAAGCTCCAGGCTGAGCAGAGTGCCGGTGGCTGCCCGCCTGCTCTGTCTTAAGACCATCTTGTTGGCAGTAGCAATGCTGAGGACCAGCCACGGGCACTGAAAGCTCCTCCCCCTTCCTGACCTGGACATCAAGCCCATCATGCCTCCCAGCAGGTGGGAACGGCGTCTGGTCAGGCAGTGCTTGGGGAGGCTGAGGCCTCTCCTGGGTCTGCTCTGACCTGGAGGTGCCCTTTCTTGTTGGCACTGTGATTTCAGAGTCCCCAGGCCTGGGTGAAGTCCCACCTCTGCTTCATCCTAACCTGTGTGACTGTATGCCAGTTCCTCCCCGGAGCCTTCTGGTGCCAGGCAAAGGGGCCAGATCAGCCTGGGGGCAATGAGGGATCATGGCCAGTTTCTAGAGTGTGACAACACGCAAATGGCATTTCAGGAAGAAAAATCTGGCAGCACGCGCTGCATGGCCTGGAGGGGAGAGATGGCAGTGGAGCTGCGTGACCTCTAGCAAGTCACTGACACCCGGCCTCTGGGGTTCCTCAATATGGCACGTGGGGTTACAAAGACCGTGGCAGGGTTGGAGTGAGGAGATGTGTCATTTGGTCTCCCCGGGAGGCAGACACTAAGCTGAAGTTAGGGACGCAAAAACGAGGACGCACGGTGAAGCAGGATTGGGCAGACAGCTTCCGATTCGAGGCTGACCTGACCACACCTCGGCTAACCTGGAGGGGAGCTTGGAACGGAGACCACCTATGTGCTCGGTCAGTGGCTGGGGGCTCCCGGGAAGAGTGAGGTATCAGCCCCAAAGCTGAGGTATGTCCTGAAGAGGCCTGTCAGCTCACTCACTGCTCCCAGCCGACCAGCAAGTTCTTTTTTGGAGGGAGCACCGCGCAGCACCCTTCTAAGAGGAAATGGGATGGAGCTTGGGAAAAGCCCTCAGGCACGTGCTCCTCTCATGTCATCCTGGGTCCGGTAGGAGCCCTTCACAGGATGAGGGGCCACCGCGCACCCAGCTCTGGGAGAAGCAGGTTGGGTTTACTCATCCGGGGACGTTTCCCAACACTTGCTCTGGGCTGGGTGCAGGATCCGGGGAGGGCCCCTACCCACCCAAAGTTCACAGTCGAGGGGACTTCACTTTTGGGGGCCAAATACCTGCAGGGTGAACAAGTGAGTGGTGGGTGCTGCTCAAAGATGCTTTATTGTCAGAGAAGTAGAGACGGGCAAGGAGGCTTGGTGGACGAGTGGGGGTGGAGGCGAGGGCAGGCAAGGGCACTGCACCCAGGCCGGGGCAGGGAGGAGAGGATGAGGGTCCCAGCTGGAGGCGAGGGGCTCCGGGAACACACTGGCAGGCAGTGGCTCTGGTGCCAAGTCCTGTCTGCTGCCTCCAGCTTCTGTACAGGCTCAGCGAGACATCATTCGCACAAACTCTGCCAGGACAAAGCCAACGTTTTCTAGTCTGCTCTCTGGACTCCCCAGGAGTGAGGCTAATATACTGGCCTTGAGGTGGGAGGGAGTGTGGTCAAGACAGGGCGTGCAAGGGAGTCCCCTGAATCTGGTAGGGAATAGGCCAGGAAGAGGGGCTTCATCTTACAGGGAAAAAAACCCAAATCTTGTAACTGAACCTATTTTCCTCTTTGCTTTGGCTGCTAGGAAGCCAGGAACACTCTGGGGCCTACCTTGGAGAATTTCTACACACTGATTTTCCTTGGCTTCCTATTCTTATTTAATCCTTTTTTCCCTCTTTTGGGAGTGAAGCATAGAGAAAGAGCTGGGTTCTGGGTAGGCTGCCCGCATTCAGATCTTGACTCCATCCACTTCTTTTGCTAAGCACTCACGCTTCCCCCTAAGAACCGACTTTCTTCTCCTGCTTATGGGGATAAGAGTTCCTTCCTCCTGGGTTTTCGTGATGATTACCTAGGAGAGGAGGACACAGGCGTGCTTAGCACAGCGCCTGGCACACACGGATTAAGGCTCTTCCTCCGTTAAAACCCTCCCAGGGCGAGCGGTCCTGAGCTTGGTGAGCGGGGGACGGTACCTTCAAAGTCGACCAGGCCGTCCCCGTTGAGGTCAATGTCACGGAAGATCTCGTCCACCTCCCGCTGGCTGAGCCGCTCTCCCAGCAGGGCCTTCAGGGCCGCCCGGAGTTCACCCAAGCTGATGCAGCCGTCCCTGTTGGTGTCGAACTGTGGCGGCGTTGGTTGCGGCATCAGGTCACAGACCGAACCGTTCATTCGTGCAGCCCCTCACTCACAGCAGACAAGCAGCCCCGCCCCCTCCAGGCCCGGTGACCCCACCTCCCGGAAGGCGTCCCGCAGCTCCCTGACGCCAATCATGTCCGCAGTCTCCGCCAGCAGCTTGGGGCCCATCAGCTCCAGAAAGTCGTCAAAGTCCACCTTCCCGCCACCTGGGGGCCACGCCCATCAGAGACCTGGGACCATCAGAGACCCCTGCCCAGCCCTGGCGCCCTCTGCCTTTTGTCCTTCCCTTCTGGCCTGTGTCCCTCTCCCCTGCCCCACTAAATGGGCCTTTCCCTCCCTCTTGGTTTCACAGGCTGGGTCATCTGTGTCTCCTGAGGGCTTTTCTTAATTTTTCTGAAGAGTTCAGTTGGGTTCAAGTCCTGGCTCCAATGATCTGACTTTGTGACCTTAAGCAAGTCACTTAACCTTTCAGAGACTCAGTGTGGAGAATTTCTACACACTGATTTTCCTTGGCTTCCTATTCTTATTTAATCCTGTTTTCCCTCTGTTGGGAATGAAGCATAGAGAAAGAGCTGGGTTCTGGGTAGGCTGCCCGCATTCAGATCTTGGCTCCAACCACTTCCTTTGCTAAGCACCCACGCTTCCCTAAGAACTGACTTTCTTCTCCTTATGGGGATAATAAGAGTTCTGCCCTCATCTAAAAAGTGGGCATGATGGTCCTTGACTCACCCACATCCTAGGGGATGGTGAGATTCTCTGGAGGCAGAGAGCTTGCCTTGAGAATGACCAAGGTCCCGAGCTCTGGGGGCCAACCTGTGTAGACACCTCTGTTCCCTGGGCTGCCCAGCTGCCCTGGCCATGGGCATGGCCTCTGGAGAACTGGGGGTGGGGCAGGTCTCAGGCACATACTGATTTGCTGTGAAATCTCGATGAGCTCCATCTCCGTGGGCATGTAGCCCAGTGTCCGCATGCAGGCTCCCAGCTCCCCGTAGCCGATATAGCCGTCCCGGTCTCGGTCAAACTCCTGGAAGGCGGCCTGCAGCTCTGCCAGGCAGGGCAGAGTCAGTCCTTCCCCCACGTCACCCTGGACCCCATCCTGGATTGGACCTTCTCCCCTCGGTCCAATCATTTCCTCTTTCTAAACACCCATTTCTCTTTGCTGCCTCAGGGCCTTTGTACATGCTATTCCTTTAATTCATTCTGCAAATATTTAAGGAACATCTGCTATGTGCCAAGCTCTGCTCTAGGTACTGGGAATATGGCAATGAAGAAAGAAAAAGAAAGAAAAGAAAGAAAAGAAAGAAAGAAAGAAAGAAAGAAAGGAAGGAAGAAAGAAAAAGAAAGAAAGAAAGAAAGGAAGGAAGGAAGGAAGGAAGAAGGAAGAAAGAAAGAAAGAAAGAAAAGAATGAACGAAAAAGAGAGGGAGGAAGGAAGGAAAGAGGAAGGAAGGAAGGAAGGAAGGAAAGAGGAAGGAAGGAAGGGAGAGGGAGAGGGAGAAACAAATCATTGACCTCATGGAGCTCACATTCTGGACACTCTCCCCTCCTCTTTGGTCCTTAAGTCACCTAATCAAGGAGGTCTTCCCTCTCAGTTCAGTCCCCTCTGGCCCATTTGTTCACTTCCTTGAGAGCACTTAGCACCATTTGTACTTGTAGTTGACTTATTGACGTCTGACTCCAGAGGACACAGGCCATATCTGTCCAGTTTGTCACGTTTCCCAGTGCTCAGCACTGGGCCAGGCACACAGTGGGCACCCAGGAAGTGTTCGCTGAATGAACAAATAAAAAAAGGGGACCGTGACCCACCTGGCAAGTGGGACCAGGGAACTGACAGCTGGGGGTTCTCTCAACCCCTCCCTGCTCAGTCTTGTCCCCATATTCTCGCACGGATCCCCTGCGGCCTTCCTGCTCCTCCTGGAGCATGCTCAGGCCCCCACCCAATGCCCCGCACTCCGGAAATTCTAGTTCTTTCCCCAACCCTTTACCTTCAATCTCCTCTGGCCGCAGCTCCCGGTCCTGAGGGGACACAGAGGGGTTAAGAATTCCCTGGACCCCCCAGGCACCTGCATCCCTTCCTTCTTGTCCTTTGGGGCCCCCTACAACATGCAGGCACAGGGCCAGCAGTGACACTGCTCCAACCCATTCCTCCCACCATTCCTGTTGATGGACCTGGGCACCTGGCCCCTCTTCCCTGTTCCCCGTGCCCACCCTCCTCTAGGGCCGGAGCTCCATTAGCCAGAGATGGATCTGGGGTTGGGCAGAACCTTGGGCTTGGCCATGGGGGCCTCAGTGTCAGCATATGTCCCTCTTGTTCTCTCTGTCCCTCTCCTGGGAGCCCTGTCCCCTCCCTGACCATCCTCTTGGTGGCTGTCTCTGCCATTTCTCTGGATTGCTCTCGGCCCCCTCTTCTTTCTTTCCTGGCATGTTTCCCTGGGTCTCCCCCGTGTTTGATCCCATGTCTGTTTCTCCACTCCTCTCTGCCCCTTACACCCCTGGGTCTGTGTGCTTTGCTCTGAGATCCCCACTCAATCCTCTCCTTCCACTCAAGGAGAAGGTGGGCACGGGCGGCAGGCAGGTGGTGACCGTACATACGAGCTGGGTGGCGGCGATGCTGGGCCGCAGGAAGACGCAGGCAGGCCCCACCAGGCTACTGAGTACAGAGTAGCAGCCCTGAACACCCGGCCCAGGGCTCCTCTGCTCCTTGGCGCTGGGGCCCAGGCCATGGCGGGACCCCCTTGGCGGGGAGCCAGGCCACTGCCAGCAGTCCTGCAGCAGAGCCGGCCATGAGCTGGGACAGTGACCCCTCTCCCCCTCGTTAGGGCCCAGCACAGAACAGAGAACAGTGGACCCTCACCATCAGCAACACTCTATGCTGGAAGGGTCCACCCCTCACTGTTCAGCTGGGCAAACCGAGGCCCAGAGAAGGCAAGAGACTTGGCCACGGTCACTCAGAAAGCCAGTGGCGGAGTGAGACCCTGAGCTCATGTGCTGAGTCTCCCAGGCCAGGACTGACTAGCAGAGGGCAAGGGTAGCAGCAGGGATGGGGCAGTTGAGTGGGCAGCTGGGGGCCCTGACGAGCTTTGGCAGGGGAAGCCCAGTGGCCTACAGGAGCCAAGACCAGGATGGGCCAGAGTCTGGGGGCTGCCAGGGAAAATCTCGGTCTAGGGTGGTGGGAACCCACCCCTCCATCCCCCAGCTGCGCTGTAACCCCAGCTCAGCCTCTCACAGGGCTCTGCACCACCCTCCACCAGAAGCTTTCAGGGTCCAGCCAGCCTCCTGGCCTTGGCTTTCCCCCTTGACACTCCTACCTTAGGCCCCCGGTGTTGGGGCCCCTTGGCAGAGTTTCCCATGGACCCTTGAACCATGCCAGGCCTGGAGTCCCGGGGGTAGCCCAGGGCTGGGCCTCAGCAGATGCTGTGGGCTCCCACCAGCCCCCAGCCACTCCCCGTGAGAGTCTGGGAGCACTGCAGGGGATTTTCCTAGGGTTTTGTGGGGGAGATCGGGCGTGGGTGGGCAGGCGGGGAGCCTTGGGCACAGGGGCTTGGGTCCTAATCTGGGATTATCTCTGAGCATCTCTGCTGGTGAGGGGGGCCACTCGGGGCATAAGGCCCCCCTGGAAGGCATAACCTCCCCATGCTCACTCCTGAGGGTCTTCCAGACACCCCCTCTCCAGGACCCTCTCCCCCCACCACTACCCCTAATCTCTTCTAATCAGGAGAGATTTAATGTCTTCAGAAGCAGGGCCCGGACCTGGGAGGAGGAAACCAGGTGGCTTCTGTGCTAGAGCAGGCTGGGTCATCTCTCCCCAGAACAGCAGACCCAGGAAGCCCCTGGCCCTCCCTGTCGGACCCTTGCTCTCACCCCAGAGCATCCACCCAGCCAGCCTGCTCGGCACACCTGCCTGGACCTGCCCCCTGCCCCTTGTACTTGGGCAAGGAGCCGAGGGCAGCTGACTTTGGGCTCTGTGGGCTGGAAGCAGGCCTCAGTGAGGGCAGAGGTGGGGAGGGATGCCAGCCTCCCTCCTGGGCAGCTGAGTGACTGCTGACCCCTCTGTCACTGTGCATGTCCAAGGTCCCGTCCCTGGGCTCAGCCCTGGGTTGGTCCAGCGGGCCCCGGTTGGGGTGTGGCATCCCCACTGTTCCCTCACGGTCCCCCAGTTGAGGATGGCTCCATACCCCGGCCCCCTTTACCTGCCCGTAGGCGGCCTGCACCTGGGTCTCCAGCTCCTGGAGGAGCGCCCGCCGTCTGGTGGCTGCTGGGTTGGCAGGGGCCTGGCTAGGCCCTGGAGTGCCCTCGGAGGGGCTGGGGTCCCCCGTGGGGAGGCTGCCATCTGCCGGGCCCTGGGGAAGGGCCATGGAGACAAGGGCTTGGCACCTCCTGCTGGCTGCGGGGCACTGCCCCACTCCACTGTCCAGGGTCCTGCGGAAGGACAGCTTAGTGGGCAGCTGTGGATGTGGTCCCCACAGGGTCCCTGCTACTCTTCTCCCTGTTCCTCGCTCCGCGGGCTAATGGCCCCCAGGTCCTCCAAGGCTCCTCTCTTTCCTAGCTCCCCAAGCCCCTCACACAGCCCCTCCCTGAAATCCTAGCCTTCCCCTGAGCTGCTGCCCTCATGCTGGCCACAGGCTGTGCCCCGGGGCCCCCCTGCATCACACCGGCCTCTCTGGTTCCTGGGCTCTGCGTCTCCCCACATCCTCTTCCACCTCTGATTCTGTGTTGTTCTCTGCCCCCCTCTGTCCCCTCTGCTCCATGGGTGTCTCTCTTTGTCCGTCTCACCTGCCCTCCCCTCTCCACCCCCTGCCCTCTGTTGACAATCTGTCCAGCTGTGTCTCTGTGGGTCTCTCTGCCCACTCATGCCCCATTTCTTTGTCACTTCCCTCCCTCTGTTGCGTGAGACTATTTCTCACATTGGTCTGTCTTTCTGTCTGTCCATCCTTGCCCTTCCTATTCTCCCCACCATCCCCCTTCCCAGGATGGCTCCTGGATTCTGGAAAGACCATCCCCCCCAAGTCCTGCCCCAGACCTCCCCCATTCTCCCCACCCAGAGCCCCGGGGTACCTCTGCACCTCCCACTTAGCTTCTGCCAACCTCGTAGGCCAGGCAGCCGGCCGTGGCCTCTTGTGCCCCCTTGTTATGCCCCGGCCCACTTACCGCGCAGCTGCCTGCCCCTCACCTCTCCGAATGAGGTCAGTCGTCCTGCCCCGGCCCTGCTCCAGGCCCCTCATGATTTATTCACCTGCCCCCCGCATCAACCTTTGTCCAAGGGAACCAGATCCCACCAGGCACCTGCCATCTGAGCTGGTGGCTCTGGCCTCTTTCGGCCACTCACGGCCATCCATTCACGTATTTCTTTTGCAAACATCCGAGGTCTGCCGGGATGCAGCCCCGGGCCGGCTGCTGGGGCCACATGACAGACCCCGTCTGCCCTGAAGGCCCTGCTCTAAGGCACATCTAATTCAGAAAAGGGCCGAGAGACAGCCTCCAAGTGCTTGGGGGCACAGACTCAGGCATCAGGAAGGCTTCATGGGGGAGAAGGGGGGATGGGGCGGCATTCTAGGCATTGCCCACCAATGTTTAGCTTGGCACTTGCACCCTGGGCAAGTGCCAGCATCCCCGGCAGGGATCAGCTGTGAACGGGCACCGGCATCCAGCAGGGTCTGTGGGTGGAGGCCCTCAGGAGGGAGGCAGGGGTGGAAGTCCCTGGAAAGGGTGATGGTGGCCAGAGGCTGGAGGAAACTTCAGAGACTGAGTCTTCAGCAAATGTTGGTGAAGCCCCTGCTGTGTGCCTTCCGGGGTGCTGGGAACCAGTCCCTGCCTCAGGCCGGCTGTGGAGGAGCAAGGGCAGGGGAGGGCCCGACAGGCAGTCAGGGGGACCCTGCGGTGATGGGGGCTGAGGCAGTGACCTGTGAGCCAAGGTCAGAGGGATGAAGGGAGTGACCGCGTGAAGACGGGTGGCCATGCAGGCAGAGGGGACATCTTCCACAAAGCCCTGGGCAGGTCTGAGGGTCTAAGGAAAAGCCAGGGTTGAGAGGCGAGTGCACGCCGGCCGTTGGTCTAGGGTGGGAAGGACTCATTGTGACCATTCACATTGATCATTTGGAGGCTCAGCTTCAGCATCCTTCAGCCCCTCTGCACCCCGGGTCACATCTCCTCCCGGAGGCCAGGAGTGCACTGCCTCCCCGGAAGCACAGCAAACAGCCCTCAGAGACAGGGATGCTCCTGTTTTCTGCAAGGTCATAGAAAGGGCCCGCAGTCCTGGCTTCCCCCATGCATTTGCTGTGTGACCCTAGGCAAGATATTTCACCTCTCTGAGCCTTAGTTACCTAATCTGGAAAGTGGAGGTGGACCTAGTATCTGTCTCATGGTGCCTTTGTGAAAATTAAATGATAAAAGGCCTAGCAGGTTCCCAGCGCATAAGAAACGTTCAAAAAATGGTGGATGTCACATGTGATGAAAGATTCCACGTCTAAATAACCATCTAAGAAGGTGGGAAGTGTTGAGAAATGTGTGTCCCAAAGTATAAGCCAAAGGAGTGGGAACTATAACTGGTCATGGAATAGTGGGTAGAAGTATTTTCAGTGAAGGAGCAAAGCCTTCGTGTCCAGCTCCAGTGTCCAGGATGGCCAGGTGGATCAGTGGTGGACAAATGAATGGATGGATGGTTGGGTGGATAGGTGGGTGGTTGGTTGGGTGGGAGGCTGACTTGATGGATTGGTGTTTGAATGGTTGGTGCTTGGAAGGATGGACGATTGAGTAGCTGGATGGATAGATGGACAGACAGATGGATGGATGGATGGATGAATGGATGGACAGGTGGGTTGCTGACTGGATGGAAGGATAGGTAGGTGATGTGACGGGCTAGTGGTTAAATGGTTGCATAGACAGATGGACAGTTGCCTGGCTGGATGGGTGGGTGAATGAAAAGATGGATGGATAGACAAGTCGAGGATGATTGGGTAGGTAAATGAGTAGTAGGTGAGTAAATGGAGAGGTGGATGTCTTTTGTTCGTTTTTTTTTTTTAATTTTTATTTATTTATGGCTGCGTCGGGTCTTCATTGCTGCGCACGGGCTTTCTCTGGTTGCGGTGAGCAGGGGCTAGTCTTCGTTGCAGTGCACGGGCTTCTCCTTGCGGTGGTTTCTCTTGCTGCAGAGCATGGGCTCTAGGCACGTGGGCTTCAGTAGTTGTGGCACGCGGGCTTCAATAGTTGTGGCTCGCGGGCTCTAGAGCGCAGGCTCAGTAGTTGTGGTGCACGGGCTTAGTTGCTCTGCGGCATGTGGGATCTTCCCGGACCAGGGCTCAAACTTGTGTCCCCTGCACTGGCAGGCGGATTCTTAACCATTGAGCCACCAGGGAAGTCCCGAGAGGTGGATGTTTTGATGGACTGCTGGTCTAATGTTTGGTTGTTGGATGGCTGAATGATCGGGTAGGTGGGTGTATGGATGGACAGATAGATAGGTGGAGGTGGGTAGATGGCTGGGTGGATGGACTGCTGGTGTAGGTCTTTACAGTCTTCATTCAAAGAGTCCATTAGGCTGGAGACCATATCTTATCTACTTCAGTGTCTCCCATGATGTCCAGCCCACTCAATGCTGAGACACACTAATTAATGTGTGAATAAAGACTTTTTCTTTATTCACCTATCCACCCAGGAAGTGGGGACTTCCCTGGCGGTCCAGTGGTTAAGACTCTGCGCTTCCAATGCAGGGGGCTCGGGTTCGATCCCTGGTCGGGAAACTAAGATCCCACACGCTGCACAGCACAGCCAAAAAAATTAATAAATAAAAACAAAACCCAATAAGAATTTCTAAAAAAAAAAAAGATGTGTCTATTTATCTCCTCCTACTCTGAGCTGAGCTGTGATTCCTCTGATGGCAAACGACGTCTCCTTCTCTACTCCGTTCCCTACAAGCCAAACCCAGGCTTGGCACCTGGTAAGCACCATACACAGGTCCATATTGAGACACCACTTCACACTCACCAGGATAGCTAAAGTGAAGAAAGACAGACAATAACAATAGGTGAGGATGTGGCGAAGCTGGAACCTTCACATGCTGCTGTTGGGTTTATAAAATGGTGCCGCCACTTTGGAAAAGAGTCTGGCAGTTCCTCAAAATGAGTTACCGTATGACTCAGCAACTTCAGTCCTCGGTACATACCCAAGGGAATTGAAAACGTCAGTTCACACAAAAATTTGTACGCAAATGTATATAGCAGTGTTACTCATAGTCAAAAAATGAAACAATCCAAATGTTCATCAGTGTATAAATGGGTAAGAAAAATGTGTATATCCAACCAATGGAATATTATTTGGCCATAAAAACGAATGATGTACTGACATGTGCTACAACACAGATGAAGCTTGCAGACACTCTACTGAGTGAAAGCAGCCAGACGCGAAAGGCCACATAGTGTTTGATTCCATTTACATGAAAAATCCAGAAGGGGCAAATCCATAGGGACAAAATACGTTAGTGGTTGTCAAGGGATGGGGGAGTGGGGTTGAGGAGTGATGGCTAATGGGTACCGGGTTTCTTTTCGGGGTGATGAAAACGTTCTGAAATTAGTGGTGATGATTGCACAACACTGAATATACTAAAACCCACAGAATGTACCCTTTATAAGGGTGAATTTTATGTAGCAATAAAGCACTTATAGATATTTTAAAACCCACCAAAGACAGGTGCTGATATATATGTGGACTGGAGGTGGGGGATGGACACAGCGAGGTGCCTGCCCCATTTGGCTTCTCAAGCTGTGCTTCTGGGCCCCAGAGGAGGAGGCCATAGGGTGGCCACAGAGCTGGACCACAGGCTGGGCCGGTGGAGCCAGAGGGCTGTGGGTAAAAGCAGCCACTGAAACACCACAGCAGAGTGTCAAGCCAGCCTGGCGGACAGCTTCTCCAGGGGACCCGAGGGGTATGATAGCTGGAGGGTGTGTGAGCTGGCAGGAGGCCGGCCTGCTGGATGGCAGGGTGTCTCCCACGCTCCCAGGTCTGGGATGATGGTGCACAAAAGGAGCGCATGCGTGCTCCAGGCCAGAGCAGGTGGCGGAGACTTTCTGAACCTTGGTGTCCTCTTCTGCTAATGGGAACAGGAATCCCTCCCTCCCTCCCTCCCTCCCTCCCTCCCTCCCTCCCAGGGTGTGATGGAGATGACATGAAACCATTTATACAAAAGCTCTTTGTAAGCTGCTAAGTGCTGGGCAGATGTTACTCCAGCTGTGAGTCAGGGATAGATCCCGGCTCCTGGGCCACCTCCCCCATCCCCTCCCAGCCCCAGGCAGCTGTGGGCTCCAATGAGGCAAAGAAGTGTTCCTGATAAACTGCATTTGGTGTTTTCCCATGATTGCGGTGGATACTTCTACACCTGGACACCTTCCTCTTTCCTCGTGGCTCTGACAGGAAAACCAGGCTGGGATGGGCCAGGCTCAGTCAGGTCCCAGTTCCCAAGGAGGACCGCCCCCTGCCCCCCCCCGCCCCTCCAGTACCAGGAAGGGGCAGCCAGAACAGGACTGTGGGTGCAGAGGGGCCCGCAGGGAGACAGGAATGGGCTCTGCCTGGAAGGACGCAGCCGTCCCAGGTCCAGGAGGTCCTGCTCATTCGTCTGCCTCTTTCCATCTGCCGTATCCCCAGGCTCAGTCTGTATTTGAAGAGTACAGAGCACTTCGACTCAGTCAAAAAACGGTTTGGAGACTACAAGGCCTTGCAGAAGAAAGAATGAGGGTTAAAAGTGAGGCCCCTGAAGCCAACCAAACGTGTTTACTAGCTGTGTGACCTTGGGAAAGTCGATCTGTGCTTCAGTTCCCTCCTCTGTAAAATGGGATCTGAACAGGACCAAGTCTTAAGGTTGTAATATGTGTAAAGTTCTCAAGGCAGCCCTCAGTCCCTAAGGGTTTGCTATTATTATCAAGGAGAGAGGATGCGGAAATGGGTGTTTATTGAAATAGCATCCATTCAAGCAAAAAGCATTTATGGAGCACCTACTGTGTGCTGGTGCTGGGGTGCTCAGTCCTGGCCCTCTGGGGGCCCTGAGGATGCTGTGTGTTCGGGGGCGGTGAGCAGGTGTAGCGACTGTGTGCTGCTAAGTGTGGGTGCCTCTTGTAAAGCCACTGCACATCAGGCAGGGTGCACCCCTGCAGAGGGCTGGTGCGCCCCTCCAGCCCTTCTTCACCACACCCACACCTCGCCCCGACCAAGATCAAGATCCGCTGGGTGGTGACTTGGCGGATTCCTGGGGTGGGGCGCAGGGTGGAGCAGGACCTTAAATATGAGGCCTGCGGGTCCTCCCCACTTCCTGCCGCACTTGCACTCCGCCGCCCTCAGTGAGTACGGTCTGGACCGGGTGGGGGGAGGGGCCGGCTGAGACACCCCCTCTCCTAGCAGTCCGACCCCCAGACTGCCTGCCTGCGGGGGTCCTCCATCGTCCTGTCTGTCTGTCTCTCCTAGTGCCGCCCTACACCATCGTCTACTTCCCGACCCGAGGTGCGGCCGCTGCTCCTTTAGGAGGGCGAAGGGCACAGACAGGGGCCCCAGCAGGACCTCCAGTCTGGACAGCCCGCGGCGGAGGCGGAGGCGGGACCCCCCGGGGGACGGGGCCATCTCGGGCCGGGCCTCATCCTCTCTGGGGCCAAGGGCGGGGCGCTCTATCCATCGTCTCTGGTCCCTTCCTGGGGCGCTGTGGGCTGGGTCTGCCTCCCTGTCCTCCCCCCCGCCCCCCGCAAGACACGCCGGGGGCTCCACCCTTTCTCCACGGTCCATCTGCTCCGCAGCAGGCTCGGAGGCTAGAGTTTGTCCTGTCCCCGAGTCCAGTTCCCATACTCCTGACTTCCCCAGGGCGCTGCGAGGCTGGGGTCTCTGCCCATCCCCACACCCCGTCCTCCCCTCCCCCAGGGCGCTGCGAGGCCCTGCGCATGCTGCTGGCCGACCAGGGCCAGAGCTGGAAGGAGGAGGTGGTGACCAAGGAGTCCTGGTTGCAGGGCCCACTCAAGGCCTCCTGTGTGAGTGACTGCTGAGGCAGCAGTTGGGCCTTTACGGGGCAGCACGAGGGTGCGGGGCAGCTGAGCTCAGCGTCCCTCACCGAGCCCTCCCCCCTCCCAGCTGTACGGGCAGCTCCCCAAGTTCCAGGATGGAGACCTCATTCTGTACCAGTCCAATGCCATCCTGCGACACCTGGGCCGCTCCTTTGGTGAGTCCTGAGGTCGAAGGCAGCCCAGTCCGGAAAAGCACCTGAAGGGTCCCGCCAGGATGTCCTGGGGCCTGAGTTGCTGCCACCGGTCCTGTGGCTGGAGGGCAGGCCACATGGCCCTAGCGGAAGGGGCAGGGCCTGGGTTAGGAGGGTTCTGGGTTATAGGGCTGGGGCTGCCGGTCCCCCCGGGCAGAGGCCATACAGGTCTGGCTACCTTTCAGCCAGTCAGCACCACATGGGTTCACTGTGCCTGTTTCCTGGATGACAGCTCAGAGGCAGCCACCAGCCGCCCTGTGTGTGCTGCTCTAGGCTAGAGCCACTGTGGGTGTGCCCAGGAGCTTCAGAGTAGACCTCCTGCCCGTTTCTTCCTGCTCTGGCCTCACCTGAATCTGGAAAACCCATGCACACAGTGAGCAGGCCTGTGGCCTGTTTCAAGGGTGGCGGGAATGTGGCTTAGGGAGGTGGCTGCCTCTTCATTGGCTATCTTGGTGGGGAGGGGGGGTGTCCCAGGAGGACGGAAGAGCGGTGGGATGAGCCGGGTCCAGGCCCACCCTAACTTCTGCAGCCCCAGGGTGAGAGGACAGAGGCCTCCAGCCGCGGCCTGCTTCCCCGTCTCTCGCCCCGCGCTCTCCTGCACTCCGAGGGACACACCAGTCTGCAGAGCCAAGTGCTGTCCAGGCCCCGCAAGCGGCCACTCCTCTGGCCTAGGGAAGCATGATCAGAGGCTTGGCCCACACTTGCAGGGGGACAACCTGGAGGAAGGGCTTGGGGCGATGTGGGCAGGGAACTTCTGACTCCCAGGGACCCAGGGTGTGGTCTCAAAGACAAGCGTGGGCTTCTGCTGGCTGTGTTCCTTGGGCTCGTTGGAGATGGGAGCAGCAGAGTTGGGCAAAGACGACCCTCCAACGCAGGGGACCTGGTTTCCCAGCCCAGCCTGCGGGCTTCTGGGGGAAAGGGGAGCAGCGGGGCCCCAGCCTGGACAGAACCTGACCCTCTGCCTGGCCGCTGACCCAGGGCTCTACGGCAAAGACCAGCGAGAGGCGGCGCTGGTGGACATGGCGAATGACGGTGTGGAGGATCTCCGCAGGCACTGCAGCCACATCATCCATCACGGCCATGTGAGCAGGCCGGGCTTGCACTCAGGGCCGGTGCTGGGGGGCCGCCCGGGCCGTCACGGGCATCGCTCCCTTTCACAGGAGGAGGACAAGGCCCAGTATGTTCTGGAGCTGCCGGGGCACCTGAAGCCTTTTGAGAGCCTGCTGTCCCAGAACCGAGGGGGCCAGGCCTTCATCGTGGGTGACCAGGTGAGTGCAGGGTCCAGCCCGTTGTAGGTCCATTTCTCAGAAGGGCAAACCGAGACCAGAGCAGGGCCATGACTGGTTCACTGGAGTAGTCAGAGTTCTGAGCCCCAGTAGCCCCCCTCTCTCTTGACCCTATTCAAACCCCCTCCTGCCCCCTGCCCTGCAGATCTCCTTCGCAGACTACAACCTGCTGGACCTGCTGCTGAGCCACCAGGTCCTGGTCCCCGGCTGCCTGGACTCCTTCCCCCTGCTCTCGGCCTACGTGGCCCGCCTCAGTACCCGGCCCAAGCTGCAGGCCTTCCTGGCCTCCCCGGAGCACGTGAACCGCCCCGTCTTTGGAAGCCGCAAGATATGAACCCGCTTGGCCTCCCCTGGCAGGCGGGCTGCCCTTGGGACCAATAAACACGGTGAGAGGAAAGCTGTGCTGTGCTCACTGAGGGACCGGGTGGCCACAGGGGGCCCTCTGCCCTTTCCCAGGCTGCATCTTGGAAGGTGAGGGCTGGGCTGGGCCCTGGAAAAGCCGCAGGTCCCCAGAGCTGCCGGGAGACAAAGAGGAGTTCCAAGTCCAGAGAGGAAGATGAGATCCCAAACCTCAAAGATCTACCCTGGACAACTTCCTGCAGGAGGGGGTTGACCCCCCCCAGGGGTACTCATGGTTATGGCAACCTGGGAACCATCTCCATCTGGGAGAAGGGCCGCCGTGTAGGGAACAGACAGTCCCTGACGTCTGTGTGAGTTCTGTTGTCTGGCACAAGCAGGGCGCTTGGTCTCTGCGCACTCAGGTGCTGTGCACACATGCCGCTTGGGAGTGACACGCATGCTCGGGTGTTTCACCCGAGTGAGTGTTGATGTTGTCCATTCTCTTGTGTCCCCCACAGTCACCTGCAGGCAGGGCCCAGGTGTATGGCTGAAGGCAGACCTGGGAGCTCTGGGCGCATCATGCTGCTTGGGAAGTCGGGAGTGGGGGGTGGGGGGCGCGGTCAAGGGTCTCCTCCAGCTCCTGGACCCTCTGTCAGCCCTTGGCGGGAGCACCCTGCCACCTGCCCGATCCCAGCCCATCTCTCCCCTCCTGAAAGACTGTGACTGCCTCCTGCCTCCTGTGGCACCCTCAGCCTGTCCGGCCCCTCCCGCTGGCTCTTTGGACAACGTGGACTCAGATAATTCCGGAATGCCTGGCACTCCCAGTGCAGAGCTCTCATGGCTTCTTGCTGCAAAGTCCGCAGCCTGAGGAGCCTGCCAGGCCCTCCTAGAAATGGACTCTTTGGTCTCCAGAACATTCCCCACCCCCCTGCCCGGTTCACCCTTAGAGCTGCTCTCAGCTCTCCGGACAGCCCCGCCCTCCCCCCCCTCCCAGCCTTTGTCCCTGTGGTCTCCTCCGGCCCCCCACTCTCCCGCCACCCCCATGGCCACGCCCCTTCAGCCCTCAGCCTGCTGCCCCTCCGCTGTGGCCAGGTGCCCTGGGCACTTCCCCCTCTCCTGTAGCTCCGCTCTGTGGGGTCTGGCCTGCCCAGTGGTCTCGGCTCCAACCCTCCTCCTTTGAGGTCAGAGAGCCGATCGGGTTAATTTCTGTCTCCCCCGCCCCCAGGTGAGGTGCTGACTCACCTTTACCGTCAGGAAATGGGTGTGCAAGCACCAGCAAGAACTGCCTCTTTGTGTCTGGGACTCTACCTCCATGGGGGAGGCCGCAGGGCCTCAGTAGTGCCCCTCTCACCCCCATCAACTGAGCCTGTTTCATAAGGGTCTCCTATCACAGGCCTGTCCCAGTTCACAGACCTGGTGGCCCCGCTCCATTCTGGCCCCATACTGGGGACTTCTCGCACTTAACCCCCTCAAGGGAGGAAACCCAGACTCAGAGAGGGAAGGCAGCTTGTCCAAGGCCACACAGCTTATCAACGGGAGAGCTGGAATTCAAACCCAGGGCTGAGGAACTCCTAGGCGGTGCTCGGAAAGGGAAGAAGGGAGGGGGCTGGGGCCAAAGGAGTGGGCAGGAGGCCAGTTTCAGGAGCAGGAGTGACTTAGGCCCAGGCAGGTGTCAGAGGCTCCGGCAGGTGGGCAGGGGCACTGGTGGCCACTGTGGAGGCCTTGCCTGCCAGGCCAAGGACTTGGAGTTGACCCCGGGGCGCAGGGGTCACTGCAGGCTTTTGAGCAGAAAGGAGGACTCTTAGAAATCTGAGCCTGTAATTGCTCAGGGAGCCTCAGGCATCACCTAAGTCTACACGCTCACCTTACAGACAGGGAAACAGAGGCCTGGAGAGCGGAATGACTTCCCAGGTTCATGGGCAGGTGAGTGGGTGGGCTGTGGGGATGTCCTGGGCCTGATGCTCCTGGTCTGGGTGCCTGGCTGCCCCTTAAAGGAGCCTCTGCCTGAGAGACTCCAGCAGAAGCCTGGGGAAGAGGGTCTTTTGTGCATTAGATTTTGGGGGCTGGTGGGCAGTTTTGGTTTCTTTGGGTGGGAAACCCCCAGGAAGGCCCACTGGTCTCGGAGAGGACAACATAAAACCTGAGCCCCCATTGCCCTGGAGGCAGAGATTGGGCCACGGGGGTTCACGGCACAGGTAGAGGGGACAGTGGCCAAGCGAGTCCACAGAGCAGGCTTGGGGGACACGCGGGCGTCCTGCAGGTCTTGGGACAGCGGGAGGAAAGTTACTCTTTTGAAAACTTCCTGGGGCTTCCTTGGTGGTCCAGTGGTTAGGACTCCGTGCTTCCACTGCAGGGGGCGTGGGTTCGCTCTTTGGTCAGGGAACTAAAGTCCCACATGCCATGCAGTGCGGCCCAAAAATAAATTTTAAAAAAAAGAAAGAAAAAAAACTTCCTGCAACCAACTGCTTCCACATTTTTTGGGGTGACTGGGCTGAGTGTTTTTGACTGTGTGGCTCCGTGACCCCAAGAAGGTGGCTAGAAGAGGCCCCTGCCGCTGAGAGGAGGGACTCCGGGGGCTGGCAGGGCCCCAGTTTGGGCGTCTGGTGTAAGCTGGTGCAGCAAGGATGGGGGTGATGAGATCACCAGGTGGGGGAGAGACTGGGAGCCCCTCCAGCTGGAGAGGTGACAAGTGACCCTGGGACTGAGCTTCCTCCAAGCAATACCCCAAGCATTTTACATATACTTACTCATTTAATCCTTACAAAAGAATCCACCTAGTGGATGCTATTAATATCCCCATTTTACAGATGAGGAAATCGAGGCAGGGAGAGGTGAAGTAACCTCCTCAAGGACATGCAGCTGCTAAGGAGGCCAAGCCAGGTTTCGAACCCAGGCTCTCTGGCCTCAGAGCCTGTGCTTGTAACAACTCTCCCAGCTTGAACCAGAGTGGCTGCAGTTACCAGCAGGCAGCTGGTAACTCTGGTGACCCCACCCTAATTATAGGGGGACAGGAACCCTAAGAGAAAGGTTAGGCTTCCACCCTCTCAGGGTGGAAGTGGGACAGGTTCCAGTATAAAGGCTGGAACATTTAAAGACTGGTGACTGGGTTTGCTCCCCAGCTTGGGAGGAGGGACATGGCGGTTACAGACTCAAAACGCCGGTCCTCCTGGGAGCTCCTCGTCCTTAACCGGCTGCTGCTGGGTCAGAAGAGGTGGAATCTAGGGTGCTGGCATCAGTTCCTGCAAGGGTTTGCCCTTTAGTGGCAGCTCTGGGACTCAAGAGTCTCCCCTGGGGTACCAGCCTGGGGAGGGTGGGGATGAGGGGTGCAGGGAGTCACCCCAGACCTCAGGGGTAGAACCGGGGCTGCTTTGAGGCCTCGAGTCCGGGTCTTGGCCCATGGGCCTCGCTCCCCAGCCATGCCAGAGGCTGCGGGAATGTTAGCTCAGTCCTTCTTAGCCTTGCCTCTGGCCTCCACCACCTTCTCCTGGCTCTGTCAAGGTCCCAGCTGGCTCTGGTTTGAGCTCCATTCCCCCTCTCCAGCCCACTTGGTGAGCTGCCGGCGGGCTCTCTTCCCTACCCTGGAGGTCGGAACCCCTGGCTGCCCTTCCCCAGATGTACAACCTCTCTGGGCCCGTTTCCTCTTCTGACATTCCGGGCAGTCACAGAGTGCCACACTGTTTACCAAGCGCCTTCTATGTGCCAGACACTTAGCAGCTCTTAAAACTTCCTTTGTACAGGTGAGAAAACTGAGGTCAGAGCTGGAATTTGCACCCAGGCAGACTGCCTGCCAAGCCTGCATTTCTCCCTAAGAGCCCCAGAAAATGCTCTCAAACGTGCTCTGGACGAATCTAGTCATCAACGAAGTGGTTATTTAAAATGTTAATGTCAGCACAATGTTAAATATCCTGATTGCGATCAAGTCAAAGCCACGGGAATTTTAGAAGCAAGAGTACAGGTCACGTCCAGCCACTGGCCTGCTTTACTGTTTGCTTTCATGGCTGAGAGGCTGGAAACCAGCTCTGCAAACATGCGGAGATGAAACCAGGGGGAGCACGAACAACTGGGAGGCTCCACTCACCGACCCTATGGAGACGTTTACCCCCAAGAACTGCTGAGGGTTTGTCCAGGAAGTGCTTTCGGCAACAAAACTTGAACTCCACATCTTCCCATTGGAAGACTTTGTTTGGACTGGGGGTGCCTTTGCATCTCCAGATGGGATTTTCCACAAGGTCAGGAAGGTAGCCCAGGATCCCATGAGTTTGCTTGCCGTCCCTTCAACCTATTTGCATGAGCCGTGTTCTTAAGAGAAGCACCCAGGGGAGAAAATAAAACGAAGGCTTTTGGCTCACCCATTGGCTGCATCCATGACTGGGTTCTGGCTCAAAAGGGTGTCAACAATGAGAAAGTGGTAGCTTCTCAAAGATTCAGGCTCAGTACGTTTAAGTCTTCAGATAGACCTACGGATTAGGCCACACCTATGGAAAGTTACCATTTTGAGGGTTTGAAGCAGTGGCTTTTTCCTGTTATTCCAAAAATAGGGCAACTGGGACTTTGGCTCATAAATTCGGCCAAGGCAGAGTTAGATACACAACTGGGATGGCCGCTCAGCTCTGACCTGGCAATGTCTGTGTGCATCTCCTCCTCCAACCCTGCCAGCCCCCATCATCCCCTGCTGGTACCAGGCCCTGTCCTCCAGACACATGTGACCCAAGCCCAGCTAGTCACTAAGCCCCAGCCCCAGGCACAGTGCGCGGTCCAAGGTGTGAGCCCTCGCAGGGAGCTGGGCCCATCAGAGTCCCTCCCTGGCCCAGCCTGGACAGCGCTGGCCAGGCGCCAGGAGCTCCCTCTGCGACCAGAGCTTGCTTTTCTGTACAAGAGTCTGTGAGGATGTGACTTTGGAGCAGACTGTGGGGTTGGTTACAGCTGAGAGAGTGGAGCGTGTGTGTGTGTGTGTGTGTGTGTGTGTGTGTGTGTGTGTGTGTGAGAGAGAGAGAGAGAGAGAGAGAGAGAGAGAGAGAATGAGTTTTTTTAGGCCACAATTCCAGTCCCCGAGAGGCCAGATCCACTCTCTCCTTCCCCTGGTTTGTTTATGGGGCCCCAGACATAAGTTGAGGTGAGTTTCTGTGACTTCAGCTGAAAGAGACTGTGATAGTTTCCAAATATGTACACAAACCCTTTGACGATTTTCCCCTCATTATTTGGAACCAATCTCCTACCCCTTGAGTGTGACTGGACTTAGTGACTTGTTTCTAATCACAGGTGTGGAAGAGATGGTTGCGGGATGTGCAGGACGAGGTCGTGGAAGGTTCTGTGGCTTGCTCCTGACTCCCGCTCTTGGGTCACCAGACACCCATCATGAAGACACTCAAGCAGCCCTGGTGATAAGGAACTGAGGCTTCGTGCCAAAGCCAGCACTAAATCACCATCCATGTGAGCAAACTGTCTAGAAGGGACTCCTTACCCTGCCTCGCCCGTTTCTTCCCATGGGAACCACAATAAAGACTTCTGCCCACAGTTCCCCGTCTTTCTCTGCCTCTTGATCGACCCTGGTGCGTCTTCAGGCCGCCAACCCCCCACCCCAGCGTGGCATGCCTCGTTCTCCTGGGATCTGTGAGAAACAAACTCTCATTTCGATGGTAGTTGCCTCTTGATCTGTTGGCCTCACCACACCTAAATAATAATAAAACCTATATTTAAAACAGAGACCCTGGGCAGCAGCTGCCCAGCCAAACCACTCCCAAATTTCGGACTCAGAAATGGAGATAATAAGTGCTTACTGTTTTAAGTACCTAAATTTTGAGGTCATTTGTTAGGCAGCAGCAGATAACTAGTACAGAGTTGGTACCAGGCCAGCACCACCCAGCCCCAGCGTGGGATGAACGTGGAGCAGATTTTAAGCTTCACAAAGCAAGGCAGGTGCTTTACAATGTGTTAATTTCAGGTGTACAGCAAAGGGATTCAGTTATACGTACATATGTATTCTTTTTCAGATTCTTTTCCATTTAGGTTATTACAAGATACTGAATATAGTTCCCTGTGCTATACAGTAGGTCCTGTTGTTTATCTATTTTATATAGAGTAATGGATGTAACCATATTCGTTGTTTGCTACCTAACAAACCACCCCAGCATGTAGTGGTTTGAAACAACTCTCATGTCTTATTCCTGCCAGTTCTGTGGCTTGGTCAGATATCTCTTCTGGTCTGGGCCAAGTCACCTGGGGCTGGATGGTCCAGGTTGCCCTCATTGTCACCACCTCGGCCTCAGTGAGATGCCTGGGACCTCCATCCACATGACCCCTTATTCTCTCAGAGGCCTGCCCGGAACTGGATAATGTGGAAGTTTTCCAGCAGTAAGAGAGAGCAAGCCTCAACGCGGAAGTGCTTCTCAGACCCCTGCTGGTGTCACTTTTGTTAATATTCCATTGACCACAGTAAACCACACTGCCAAGCTCAGATCACAGGAGGTAGAGACATTCTTTAGCTCTTGATGGGACAAGGGGCAAATTCACCTTGCAGAGGGGCTTGTGCAGGACAATGGGAAGAACTTGGGGTCAGTTTGCCATCAGCCACCAATGCTTTCAGGCAGAAGGTGAATGATCACAAGAAGAACAGAGGTACGAGAAAGCAAGCAAGCCAAGAGGTGACCATGTGAGTCATTTTCAGGGTAACCGTAAACGACTAGAAACAGAGCGTATGTCATATAAACTAAGAGTAAAGAAACATGGAAAAAAATACTCAACCAATCCAAAAGAAGGCAAGAAAGAAATGAAAGAGAACAGAACAGGCAGGGCAAATAGCACAAAATAAGACAGGTTGAAACACGGATATATATTAGCAATTAAACTGAATGTAAATAGACTGTCCACACAAATATGCCCAATTGATTCTTTACAAAGAGGCAAAAACAATTCAACGGAGGAAAGATAGCCTTTTCAACCAGTGGTGCTGGAGCAATTAGACTGCCATAGGCCCCTAAATGGGAGAAAATGTTCAGGATCTAGGGCCAGGCAAAGAGTTCTTAGACTTGACACTAAAAACGTGACCCAGAAAAGGAAAAATCGATAAATGGGACCCATAAAAATGAAAAAGTTTGCTCTGCACAATGCCCTATTAAGAGGATGAAAAGACTAATTATAAGTGGGAGAGAATATTTGCAAACCATATATGCAACTAAAAACGAGTATCTAGAATATGTAAAAAACTCTTAAAACTCAACAGGTAAACCCCCCCCAGCAATTCTACTTGAAAATGGGTAAAACATGAAGAGACAGTTCACTGAGGATGATACAGATGGAAGATAACACATGAAAATGTACTCAACTTCATCAGCCACTAAGCAAATGCAAATTAAATCCACAATGAGATATCACTACAGACACTTCCCTGGTGGTCCAGTGGTTAAGAATCCATCTTGCAATGCAGGGGATGCCGGTTCCATCTCTGGTTGGGGAACTAAGATCCCACATGCCGCGGGGCAACTAAGCCCCAGCGCCACGACTAGAGAGAAGCCTGAGCACCACAATGAGCATAGAGCCTGTGTCTGTGCATGCTGCAACTAAGACCCGATGCAGCCAATAAATAAATAAATATCAAAAAAAAAAAAAGATATCACTACACATTTATCAGAGTGGCTAAAAAAATAGCGACAACACTAAATCCTGGCAAGGAATTGATGAAGCTGGATTGCTCATATATTGCTGGTGGGAATGTAAATTGGTGCATTTACAAACTGGAAACAGTTTGGCAGGTTCACGTAAATCTAAACATGCAAATTATCGTACAGCCTAGCCATTGCGCTTTGGGGCATTTATCCCAAAGAAATGGAAATTTGCTGTCGCACACGAAACACCTGTATATGAATGTTTATAGCAGCCTTACTGATAACAGCCCCAAAGTGGAACTAACCCAGATATCCTTCAATGGGTGAGTGGTTAAACATACCAAGGAATACGACTCAGCAATAAAAAGGAATGAACCACTGATACACAGGACAACTGGAATCTAGAGAATTGTGCTGAATGCAAAAAAAAGCTAATCCCAAAAGCTTGCATACTATTTGATTCCCTTTATATAACATTCTTGTCGTGACCAAATTATAGAAATGGAGGACAGGACTTCTCTGGTGGCGCAGTGGTTAAGAATCTGCCTGCCAATGCGGGGGACATGGGTTCAAGCCCTGGTCCAGGAAGATCCCACATGCCACGGAGCAACTAAGCCCGTGCACCACAACTACTGAGCCTGTGCTCTAGAGCCTGTGAACTGCAACTACTGAGCCCACGTCCTGCAGCTACTGAAGCCCGCATGCCTAGAGCCCTAGAGCCCGTGCTCCGCAACAAGAGAAGCCACCACAATGAGAAGTCCGCGCACCGCAACGGAGAGTAGCCCCTGCTCGCTGCAACTAGAGAAAGCCCATGCACAGCAATGAAGACCCAGCGCAGCCAAAAATATAAATAAATAAATAAATTTATTTAAAAAAGAGAAAAAGAAATGGAGGACAGATTGTGGTTGCCAGAGATTAAGGACAGGAGAGGGGGGTGGGGAAGGGGAGTGGTGTGGTCATAAAAGATGAGGTAACAGAGCAAGTGGTGAGGAGGAACTGTTCAGGGTCCTGACTGTGGTCGTGGCTACGTGAACCTACACAGGTGATAAAACTGCATAGAATTAGACACACACACACACACACACACACACACACACACTCACACATGAGTCGAACTAAAACCAGGGCAATCTGAACAAGATGGGTAGATTGTATCATTGTTAATATCCTGGGTGTGATGTCACACTACAGTTTTGCAAGATGTTATCTCCAAAGGAAAAGTTTAGGTCAAAAAAAGTAAATAGACTTAAAGGCTCTATTTAAAAGACACAGGATGTCAAAACGACAAATGAAAGAACATTAAATTATATTCTATTTATAAGAAACAGACTTCATGCATAAGGATAGGGCTTCCCTGTTGGCGCAGTGGTTGAGAGTCCGCCTGCCGATGCAGGGGACACGGGTTCGTGCCCCGGTCCGGGAAGATCCCACATGCCGCGGAGCGGCTGGGCCCGTGAGCCATGGCCGCTGAGCCTGCGCGTCCGGAGCCTGTGCCCCGCAACGGGAGAGGCCACAGCAATGAGAGGCCCGCGAACCGAAAAAAAAAAAAAAAAAAAAGGCTCTGTTTAAAAGACACAGGATGTCTAAAGAAAGAACATTAAATTATATTCTATTGATAAGAAACACACTTCATGCATAAGGATATAGAGAGGTTGAAAGTAAAAGGATGGAAAAGACATGCTGTGCAGGCACTAACTAAAAGAAAGTTAGTGCAGCTACATTACCATCAGGCCAGAAGCACTTTAAAGCCAAAAGTAAAATAAAGTAAAACTTAAAAAAAAATAAAGGGAATTTTGTTAATATGAAAAGGCTCAATATTTATCTGGAAGTTATAAAAATTCTAAATTTGTATATGCGTCTAGTATCATGGTCTCAAACTATATAAAGCAAAACATGATGGAATTATAATGAGAAATAGACAAAACTGCAATCATTGTGTGTGTGTGTGTGTGCGCACGCGCATGAGTGTGTGTGTTTGCCAATCTTGTTTCATTTATATTTTCTCCCAGTCTATAGTAGGAATTTTTTTTTTTTTTTCGCGGTATGCGGGCCTCTCACTGCCGCGGCCTTTCCCAATGTGGAGCACAGGCTCGGGACGTGCAAGCCCAGCCGCCACGGCTCACGGGCCCAGCCGCTCCGCGGCACGTGGGATCCACCCGGACCGGGGCATGAACCCGCGTCCCCTGCATCGGCAGGCGGCCTCTCAACCACTGTGCCACCAGGGAAGCCCCCGTAGTAGGATATTTTAACACACTTCTCTTAGTAATTGATAGACCAGGCAGAGAAAACAATCAGAATGATATGGAAAATCCAAACAACCACAGAATACACTTTCTTTTCAAGCACACATGCAACATATACAAAATCAATTGTATAGACATGTCAACATATTTCAATGTATTGAAATTGTAGAGTCCATTGCCTGTGCACAATGCAAGTGAGCTAAAAAACAATTCCAAAAGGAGAAGTAGGATCTTTGTTGTTATGGGACTATTTCGGAAGCTGAGAGTAATCTGATTTATTCATCGTCTACTGATTTATTTATTTATTTGTTTGTTTTAAAATTAATTAATTAATTTATTTTTGGCTGCTTTGGGTCCTCGCTGCTGCGCGTGGGCTTTCTCTACTTGCAGCGAGCAGTGGCTTCTCTTG